GAGAGAGAGAGAGAGAGAGAGAGAGAGAGAGAGAGAGAGAGAAGAGATCCTGCAATTATTTTTTGTTCTAGGAAAAGAAAAGCTTATGAAGCACTTTTCAAAAACTGTGCTACACAACTTGAATAAAATTAGTAAAAGTACAAGGAAATGATTCATCTGAAACTTCTCCACTTGAACTTCATTTTTTTAAACTTTTAAAAAACTTTCACCCCCTTTTTTGTTCTCTTGTAGAAAGAACTGGGCGATAAAAGTTCAGAAAGTATTGACAAAGTTCGTCAGCTCTTGCCTTTGCCCAAGCAGATGTGTGACCTTATTGCCTGTGAGCCTATGGGATCACTGATTGATACGAAGGGAAACAAAATTGCTGGATTTGATTCCATAGATAAAAAACAGGCAAGATAAGCATTTTCTTTAAAATCTTCCTGATATATCAACTTTCTGTTGAACATAATTTTATAGAAATTTTAATATATTCCTTTGTTTCATGTCATGTTTATACATGTTTCAATTTGACATGTAAAGCATCATTCAATCAATTGTATCATTATGTACATGATATTACTGATATTTTTCTCTGGTGATTATATGCATCACTATTTTAATAGTCAGCTCATAACTGCAAATATAGGTATTTGGAAATTAGAAGGAAATTGTGATCAAGCAAACTGTCATCTTATTTATTTTGGAACAGGGGCTTCAAGTTTCAATGAAACAGAAAGTATCTCCTTGGGATTTACTGGAAGGCAGTAAGAATCCAGCTCCATTGTCTTGGGCTTGGTTTGGAACTGTTCGCATTGATCGGAAAGTCATAAAATATGAGGAGCAGCAGCATCTTCTGCTTTACCACACACACCCTAAACCTAAGCCACGAAGTTACTACCTCGAACCTTTACCTCTTCCTCCTGAGGAGGAGGAGGAGGAAGAAGAACCTACCACTCCTGCATCTCAGGAACCAGAAAGAAAGTCAGCAGAGCTTTCAGATCAGGGAAAACCTTCAGCAGAGGAAGAAAGAAAGGGGAAAGGCAGAAAAAGAAAGACAAAAGCAGCTTCCAAAACTGATGTAAGTGGTTAAAAGATCTAAAGTTTTTCTTTAAAAAGTGGTCCTGCATGAATTGGTCACCTTGACAGGTACTGGTAACCATCAGATGATTTCATGTGAGTGAGCAGACATTAAAGAAATAACATAAAATTAAATATCATAAGTTCTGTATACAGGGACAAATATACAGTATCTCATGAGATTAGTTGGTTTTATGAGTAGGGAAATGTAGGAGATGACCAGGCTGAGCCTGAGAGAGATGTCAAACATATTGAATCCCTTCATGCCCATAAGAGATCTAAGTCCAGCCACCTTGAATTCCATTGACTTTTATGTACCACGTGTTTCCTTTGACCATTAGTAGTTCAGATACTTATAGAACATTTACAATAAACCTTTGAACTGACTACAGTTTCCTGATCTCCCATGCCTGACAGGAAAGGTGTTTTGGAGATTTGGAAGGGAGATATGTTGCTTTTCTGCACTCTTAAAAATGGGCTGATAAGATTTTCATTGTGATCCTTTCGAGTAATATTATTGCAACATTAGGTGACATCTTGCAGAAGGATAAGAGACAAAACTGTACTACTCAGTCCCTCCAATATGTTCATTCTAGGGGCATTATACATTGCCAACCTTTACTTTATAGAAGCAACAGATAATAGCTTTCTTTCTTTTTCTTTTTTGAATCAATTGCCTTTTGGATAAGAGTGATAGCTTTTCAGTACTAGTGAGTGTAGCTTTCATCGTAAATGGCTTGTGGAACCAACATAAGTTTCATAAGAGCCATTCCTTTCATGACTTATTGCTTAATCTCTTGACATTCACAAATATAGCACTTAGACATTTTTGCTGATTTAGCAGAACAGTTTGTGTGCCTTTCTAAGACTTTTGCAGAAGTGCTTGCTTCCTTTTTCACGACTGAGACAGCACTGTTTTTTGAGATGGGGGTGGGGATGAAACCATTGGATGGACCACCACATTCAATTCTATAGATGGCTCTCATGATATTTTTAAATCATTTTTTAAATTCCCACATATTTTTGGAAAGCAAGGCAAAGTTATAGGAGATGTTTCAGGTTGAATTCCATCCCATCAATGAAATTGAAAGGAGATAATATCAAATATATAAAATTCCAAAATTAATTAACAGAACTGGCTACAATGTGGTAGCCAGTTCTATGAAATAATTGAACATTTTCTTTTCTAAGCAGTAGTCCCCGTCCTCTTGAACCATCTTCATGTAAAATCTATTCAGATATCCTTCAGTAAAGATTCTCCTGCTACGTAATGCTTAATGAAGGGTTAAAATAAGAGAATTATTTTAGGACTCTAATTTCAATACATATTGCAATAGATTCATTGTCTAGTGCTTCTCAAAAATTTTGGTCTCAGCGCTCCTTTACATTCTTAAAAATAATTGAGGGCCCCAAAGAGCTTTGGTTTACTGTATATGGGTTATATCTATCAATATTTTAAAATACTTATTTAGGATGTTGGTTTGAACTCTGAGCTTGGCAATTTGGTTGCAAATATTTCATCGCTATTCAAGGAGATGTGACAAAACTTTGCAACCAAATTGCCAAGCTCGGAGCTCAAACCAACAGCCTAACTACCAAATCCAGCTACTAATATCGAAACTCATTTCAAAATATTTATTTATTTATTTAACTTTTCCTGAGAACTTCTGTCTTTATAGCCACTTGAGTTTAGGTTGTATACCAGTGTACTTCCTCAATGCTATGAAAATGCAATTTCACAGTTTGAAATACATTTGAAGAAAATATACTGTCCAGAGAAGCCCAACAAAACTAAACAGTGATACTTACTGTTCATATACATCTTGTCCTTGACAATGCACCGGGATATTGTGGTTTTAAAACAAATATGGAAAGCATTTCTTGAAATTATAAAATTTAAAAAGCTTTGTTTAAAAAATTTGAATTTTTTGACAGTTTACCTTATTCCTTCCTTTAATTTCCATCCCAGGAAATGTTTCTAATTACCTAAATAATGATGCTTTGATATAATTATAGGTACAGTTAGTAGATTATGGTATGCAGAAAAATAATAGAAAACTAAGCATTATGAGACAGCCAAATAATATGTGAAATAAAGCCTAATTGTAATAGTCATAAATTGCCTAATAATTCACAAGGAAAAATGATTTATAAATCGTTATCATTTGAATGTCAATAATAATGTTTAATGTTTCCTATTTTGCTCAAGGAATATCCTCAGAACAATGGATGTAGAATGGCTCCTAATTTTTCACCACTTTATTCCCAAATGTTGCATCATCCTCAATCTGCTTTGTGGGGTTACAATGTTATAGGACAACCGCAACAGTCGAGTTACTTTGTCCAGAACCAGCCTCTTCCACCAGGTAAAGCAGGGAAATCTGTCACAGAAAATAATTATTTTTGATTATTATAGAGATTATATATATTTCCTCATTAAATCCCCATAACTTGCATGGCCATTTTCCCATATACTCTAGAGCAGGGGTCGGCAAACCTAAACACTCAAAGAGCCATTTGGATCCATTTCCCACAGAAAAAAAACACCGGGAACCACAAAGGTCCTAACCAGAAGCCCCCTGTTCAATTCTGCGGCTGACTGGAAGTTCAGTTCTCCCACCATAGAGTCTCCTCCTAGCGCGGCATACTTTTTCCTTACCTGTCATAACCGAAAGCCCTATCAATTGTGGAGACAACTGGAAAACCCTCCTCTTGCCATAGAGTCATCTCCTGGTGCACTGTGCTTCTCCCTCCCCACTCACCGGAAGTGCCTCTCAAAATTGTGGCACCGACTGGTGACGGAGCCACAGCAGAGGGAGGAAAGAGCCACATGTGGCTCCAGGAAGTGAAACCGTAAAACTTTAGATTCTAAAGGTTAACAGTCTATACTCTAGCATACTATATACCTACTATATTACTGTAATATTTAATGTTTGAATTTAGATACTTCCAACAATATTGTTCTTTTATTATCTTTTACTTTACCTTTAATATATATGTTGTTTGTCCAGAAAACCTTTGTTGGTTCACAGTTAACCAATCAGCTTGATTCAGCTTGATTTCCAACCTGTAGCATCACATCTGGAGCAGGCTTAGTGATCCTGTAATTATTCTGTTAATCAATGTCTTTGAAGGTGGTTCCAGATTGGATCCCACAGGCTCCTTTGTGCCAAGCAACACAAAACAAGTGCTCTCTAACATGCTGCAGAGACGTTCCAGCAATATGATGCAGCCCCCAGCAATTCACACTCTTTCTTCTCATCACCAGCAGCAACAATTGCTTCAACAACAGTGGATTCTAAGGCACCAGAGCCAGGCAAGGCCTTTCAAACTGTTTTGTCTTATATTTAGAAGTTGGATGGATTATTTATTTCAGCTTTTCTTCATTTAGGACAAGGAAGTGGAGAAAATAATGATGGGTTCAAAGTAAGCTTAGTGTATATATGCAGGACAGAAAGGTAGGAAACAAAATAGTGTCTCTCATTCCACATCCAAAAATTCACTGGATTGGAATAGTGGAAGATAATCCAATTTCAAGAATACCAAATATATTATGTACACACATTAATATCCCTATGTTCACTGCTGCCCATTGCTATCTGCCATTGTCTCACTTAATGTCTACAGCTGGTCTGTGCACAGAAAACTGGAGGAACTTAAGGAAACAGAATTTAGACACATTGCAATCTGCCCACAAAAACAATCTCACTTAAAAAAGATATTTTAGTCACACCAGCTTGCTCTTACACTACATGTGTTTTAAGAGACTGACAGTACTTGCAATAAATTGCATGTCAATCTAACAGCCACTGCACCAAGAACTGCTCATTGTCGGGAGTTCAATCCTGACTGACTCAAGTTTGAATCAGCCTTCCATCCTTTCGAGGTTGGTAAAATGAGGGCCTAGATTGTTGGGGGCAATATGCTGACTCTGTAAACCACTTAGCGGGGAGTGTAAGGCACTATGAAGCACTATATAAATCTAAGTGCTATTACTATTGCACCTATTGCTTTACCACTTATTTTTAGATGTTTTTTATTCATTATTTTTATAACTAACTCAAGGCAGCAAACATACCTAATATCTTTCCTTCTCCTTCTTTTCTTATCTTGTGTTTTCCCCACAACAGCAGTGTTGTGGGGTGTGTTGAGCTAAGAGAGAACGACTGATCCAAAGTAACCCAGTTGACTTTGATGCCTAAGGTGACCATGGAATTCACCATCTTCTGATTTCTAGCCTGGTACCTTAATTATTAGATCAAACTGGCTCAAAATGAGCATGTTTAGATTGGTAAACTTTTGATATATAACAAGCAGCATTTAATTTTATTGGTGAACTGTTTTACAGGGTCCAACAATTGAACAGGCTTCCATTTTTGCTCAACAAGTCCGCCCTTCTTCTTCTCAGCTAACACAGTATCCAGGGATACAGCAATCACAGGTAAAGCATCCCTCTTAAAAATTGGCTCAGTGGGATTCAGATAAATATGATGGTGGATATAATAATCTTGGTTTTACAATGTTTGAAAAATAGGAGAGTCCTGAAAGTGGCCTTTCATGAGTCCCTCTTTAATAAATGGTCTTGCCCAGTTGTTGTAAACAAGCAATAACCACTAACAGATACTATTTGTGGGAACTAATATTTTTATACCAGTTGTGGGTGACACAACTGCAGAAACCGGAAAAAAATCACTATAATCATAAATAGTCTACCCATTCTCACCTAAATTGTGCTATAGGGAAGCACCTACTTCTATACCTTTAATTTCTTCCACATCATCCAGACTTTCTGTTAAACAAAGAAACAAAAATTGAAGTTGACATGAGCTTTATATGAATAACTAGAACACTCAATTTAGCTTAAGAAAGAAAATGACATACGAGGTTCCTTTCTCAAGTTACAGTATTTTTAAAACCAGTAAAATGCATAGATGTTTAGAAAAACTAAAAGTCCAAATCGTGTGTTTTGAACTGTTTTCCACACAGACAATTCCTCATGGCTATACAATGTATAGTACTCAGATGTCATTGCCATCTCAACAGACCGGGGGTTTAGTTCTTTCACCTACCTACAATCCTAGATCATTTCAAGCAACTCATTCTAGTCCAGTTTTAATGGAAAGGTTAAGGCAAATGCAACAGCAGCCAAGCGGGTACATTCATCAGCAAGCAGCTTCCTACCTTCAGCCTTTAGCAGGCAATCAGCGGTAAGATCCTATGATTCCAGAACTTTGTTAACCAGATGTTTTGTACTTTTCTGGGGGAAAATGAAAACAATGCATTTCTTATAAATTCAGACAGTCTAATTCCTTCCAAATCACTTCGGCTTCCAACTTAGTTTGAGGACAAAACAAATTAGAGTTGAAACTTTAAATATCTTAATGGGATCAGATTGGGGAAATCTTATACAAACAGTCAGCCCTAGCTAGACAGGTATGTTATCCCTATACTATTTCCCAAGCCCCACTTTGCTTTGAATTACATGTAGCTTCAACCTGTCTTTTTACTACTCAGACTAGATAGAATTAAGTTGATGCTACATACATTTGGAAATCACCTTGTCTCTCTGTCTCTCTGTCTCTCTGTCTCTCTGTCTCTCTGTCTCTCTGTCTGTCTCTCTCTCTCTCTGTGTGTGTGTGTATGTGTGTACGGCATAATTTAAAAACATATCATTATGTAATTTCTATTTAATTAATTTATGTGTTTTGGAGCTATTAAATGGGCTTTTGGAAATTATAAACCAAGTGGTCCTAAAATTTGCTAATCAAGAGATCCTATTAATTTATTCAGTCATTCAAAAGTATAATATTTCTAAGTGTCTAATTCCACAGACCAGCTTTCTAAAGATGTAATATCAATTTTTAAAAGCTTTTTTTTTAAAAAAATCAGTTTTTCTTTTTTAGACAGCCACCCTGAGGCAGTAAAACAAATGTTTCATTTCTGTGTTTATGAAAATAGACTTTCTTGTTCTTAGCACCATTTGAACCCAGATTTAATTATGGATGAAAAGGCAGAGTCTGTTTCAAATTTTGTTGTAAATCCTGCTTGTCTGTGACAGGCAGTTTAAGTAAAGTCCATGACGATCTTAAATGGATAGAATAGAGGCATCTAATCTCTATTCTCTATTTTCCCCCTGCCAAAGGAACTGATAGGCAAGGATAAATTCAGCTGCTCCACTGGGGAATGGCAAATGTTGGACCTGTTCTGCACAAATTTCATCATTTGAGGGTATCATGAAAAGCATGTTGCAGTCTTAATGCTTAGTAGTGAATAGGGAAAAATGGTTTATTTTACAAAAGAAAGCACACATGCCTTCTCAGTTGCAAATTAAAGTTTCATCTAAATCATTACTGCTTATTTTTTTTGTACCCAGAAAATAATTTTTTAAATCTTCTGCTGAATGGAATACTAAATTCTTGTAGCATTACTGAGGCTTTCTCTTGGAATGATGTTTAATGCACAGCCTCCCGAATTTCTTGTTATTCACATTAAATGTTTTTGCAAGCTGTAAAATGAAAAATTCACATCTTTGACTTAAAAGTTCAATTTACTAATTAATACTTGCACATCCTTATTACGCATAGGCAATAAATATAAATTATAATTGGCTGTACTTGAAACATATCTCCATTTCCAATTATTTTCTATACAAGTCATAAATATTATTTTTGACAAATTAATTTTAACAAGGGAGTGTTGAAATCTTGCTTCTCTGGCAGTAGCTGAACTCGCTATTGTGTCCCAGGAATGCATATGTGAAACTTTCAAATTTTATTCAATTAATTTTGGAATTGGTACACAATATCTCAATATAACCTGAGACTAATATTTTAACTTAATATATCATTCAGCACTCAGCTATCTACATTTAGACAAACTGATTTTTATTTCTATCTTTAGAAGAGAATATTTGTATTTCAGGGAGCTGTGAACTGTGGCTTCCTTGCTGCCCTCTGAGCTTGGTGAATATCTAGCAGACATGAAGTTATCTAGTTTGCTAATGAAGCCTCTACAGAAAGCGAAGTTCAGAGGGTATCAGGACCCCACATTTCCATCTTTAATATGAATATCAGAATAAAGAATTTTTGAGTGGAAAACTGCATGTAAAATACATTTGGGTATAAATGACTTCTGAAGTGGAATAATTTTCTATATTATCATGCCGTCTATGATATATTGCTTTTGCAGAAATCTTTTGATATAAATAGGATTTATATATCTTTTCTTAGAGAGCTATTATATCTGCAAGTCAGCCTGATTTTTCTCTATAATAGTTTAGTAAAGTAAATTGGGCTGAGAAAGTTTGTTTCCCCCCAGAATCATGTATCTAAACTCAGTGAAGCTTAATCTCTTCTTTCTAGTTTTCCATCTTAATCTAAATTGCAACTAAATTGCTATTCTGCTGAGGGTTCACAACTTTCCAGTCTCAAATGCATCAATATCTTTTTTGATTAGTGTGTAAAGATGTCAGTATCAGTACACACTGAGCAGAAAAAGAGAAAACATGCTAATTTCTTCTTTTTCAAAGCCGTCTTTATTCCATAATGATCACATTTCAATCCTTAAAGTAGACGGATATTTAAGATGGAAGTATCCTTTGCTAATATATGGTTTATTTTAACTATAGTGTATCATTTTGTTTTATAATGAATTCACAATTGACTGGATTCATGCAACATGACAATTTATAAATCATGGTCTATGAACTATAATGTTGTAGTTTACATAACATTACTAAGCTAAAACCAAAGAAATTAACTTCTGGTTTAGCATGGCATGGCAACTCACTTTCAAATGTACATTGATTGTATTTACTCCCATACTTATCGGCTTTTCATCCATGTAAACCAGGGAGTGACCCGAACAGTTTGAGTACATGTATGTTATTATCCACTTTTAATGTCAATACTTTTTAAATATATTTTAATGTCAGTACTTTTTTAATATATTGTAAAAAGTAATGTGTATTGCTGGTCTTTGACCATAATAAAGATTTATTCATATGTGTTTCAGAAAAGTTTCATCATAGTTCTATTATGGGATGAAAATGATTTAAATAAAAGAAATTTACAAATTTTAGCTGAGGAAATGGAGCTTTAATATGCATCTATTTAATTTATCAATATTTTATTAATATCCATGTATTGTTTTTTGTTAGTTGATACTCCACTGAAATTGTTTCATGCTCTTATAGACCATTGAACTTATTTATTTTACAATATTTGTATAAGAGGAAAGCAATATAGTTAACAACCATGTTAAACCTATTATTACAATCAAACAATAGTTGTATGTTCAGATGTATCTTCAATATCTTCAAATTTCAAATATCAACAATCACCCTACAGACAAAAGTAAATAAAATGGTTTATTTCATAATTATTTTTTTTTTTTACTTCTATTTTTCATACCTGGAAACACTGTATTTTTTTTTAATGTCTCTCAGTTCAGTTCACCAGTCTTTGCAGCAGAATAACTTGGTTGGAGGACCTCTGGATGCAGTTTCAGCCACATCTGCCCAGGCAAATCTTTACTCTGTCCAGGTGTCTCAGGAACAGATGAGACAGAGGCAACAGCAAATTCGGCAACAAAGATTCCTTCAGGTTTGGTGTCTTTAATTTTGTTGGTTAGAAATGATTATTTTTATTACAATGATCAGAGTGTTCATAGGACAATATTTGAACAGGTAATGCTCCATTATGTCAATATATAGCGTCTACTCTAAAATGCCTATTCAGAATGGTGATGGCTCTCCTCTTAATTAGAGACCTTTCTACAAGAGCACTATCTTCAGTTACTTATCTTCATAATTCTTCATAATAGTAAATTGTAGAAGCCTGGGATCACAGGAAAGGATTAAAGCCCTTACTAAGTCTACTTTAGCCTTTCAGTAGTGCAGTTTGGGAACATTGTAGAAAAACAACAATAAATTACAATTATAGCAATAGCACTTAGAGTTATATACCCCTTTACAGTGCTTTACAGCCCTCTCTAAGCAGTTTACAGAGTCAGCATATTGCCTCCAACAATCTGTGTCCTCATTTTACCAACCTCGGAAGGATGGAAGGCTGACTCAACCTTGAGCCTGGTGAGATTTAACTGCCAAACTGCAGGCAGATGGCAGTCTGTAGAATTAGCCTGCAGTACTGCACTCTAACCACTGCACCACCGAGACTCAATTATAACCTTTTTGTGGATCCAGTTTCTCGATTAGGTCTACTTTGTAGGCTTGAGGACATTATGAGAGAGTCTATGCTGTCAGACCTTAAAATGGCCATCTTGGAAAAAAAATATAATATAAAATTTATAATATAAACTTTAATATAACCCCTAAGGGAAATATTGCTAAATACACATGTATCCAAAATTTTCAGACAATCTCTAAATATCCCAACAAATATAATGTGCTTCTTAATACATTGCAATTAATTGATAAGATCCTAGTAATCTGATTTACAATACATGTAACCTGCTTCTGCATAACCAATCTGTCTTTTCCGGCCGCACCTCACTTTAAATCCTTTATCAGTCTAGTCATCTGATGGTGGTCTACAACTCACAAAAGGTTATTCCTTTTAATAAAAATCTATTAGCTGAAAAATGTATTAGCTACTCCTACCCTACTCCTGACTTTTTCTTACCATAATCTACCATATCTTTTCTTCTGAAATGTATGCAAAGCTCAGGAAATGCTTCATTGAACTATATTAGTTCTTCCTATAGGTATGTCCACATAAGCCTGAACTCTTTCCCTATCTTCTCATATCTCCAGAAGGATCTTTATTACAAGTTGAACAACTTAAAGTTGTGGAAATTTATAGATGATTTAATTAGAAAAAGTGGACAAAGACTGGGAAAGGAGAATTAATTCTTATCATTTATTAAGCACCACAAAGGTGGCAGCTAGGAGGAATTCTAAAATACAAAATATAGTTTGTGAATGCAACTCTTAAAAAGCAATGTTTCTTAGAGCAGAATGTTACTACAGTACATGCTCTCAAACTGGGGAGAGGGGAAGTTAATCTGGTCATGTGGCTCTCAGTTTAATGTCAAAAGCCTTCTGTAAATGATATCAATCCAACTGGGGAAAAAATTCTGAATTCTAGCTTCTACCAGTTCATTTATTGATCAACTACAAGATTTGTCATCCTCTGAAAGTTGGCACTATTATTGCCTTATTATTGCAATAGGAGTTGCAAAAACATCCCAAGACAATTTCCATATTGTTACCAGGAAAATGGATATCTTAACATGTTCAGTAGGATGAAGCTTGACTCTAAGAAAGACTTACAACTTTTTTTAAAGGTAAACAGAATTATAATCATTTTCCCTTTTTCTTCTTCTTTCAGCTTCAGCAGCAACAGAATCAACAACAAATCATTAGCCTTCAAGCAATGCAGCCTCAACAACAATCTTTCGTAAGACAAATATTCATAATAAACCATATTCTGGAGTTCTTCCACAATAGAGAAAGTCATAGGGTTTAAACTAGCATGTCCCACTAATTGCTATTTGTTTCCATGTTCTTGGAGAAAGGTGGAATTGATATAAGAAGACACTCACAATAATAAGAGTGAAGTGGCTTTGAATGTCTATTTCTGTCTCTTGTGTAAAAAATTAGGCTACTCTATAGTATGATCTCTGTAAATTTTCTAACGGGGTAATTATTGTTTGGAATATTACCCATATAATGCTTCCCATATTTAGGAAGTAGATATTCTTTCTGAAACATTGTGATAGTAACTGGGTATATATTTAATGCTTGTACAAATACTCCATCTAGTGGATTAGGTATCTTTGAATTTCACTACTAGTCTGCTTAAATCAAATTTATTGCTGCTAAAAATGTGTTTAATTTGAACAATGATCATCAACCTCCTGATGAACTGTGTTATAATACTGCTGCCCTCTGCCCGCTATGCTTGATAATTTCTACTTCCACTGAAAAAGACTTATTTGTACTACTTCTTTTAGAGGGTTAGATTAATTTATTTAAAAGTTCTCAGGAGAGGTGCAGGAGACCTTTTCAGAGGAGGTCTATTTGCTTTTTCACTTTGTAAATGTTCCATATGCCCTTATTATTGAGAGTAACGCAATTATCTTTTCTACAACTTTAGCACTTTATAGAATAAACAGCACAATGGTAAGATGCTTATGTGATCATCTGGCTATTCCAAGAAATACTAAAGTTATAGAAAAATAAATAAAAGCTAGCCATTCGTGCTCCAAATACTTAGGGAACATTTTAAAGGATCCATTCTCTTTAGTCAAATATTGTGCAGCAACATTCAACTTCTTCTATCAATTTATTGAAAATGTCTTTGTTTCATTTTGCTTTAAATTTCTCACAGAGATCTAAATAAATGAATTTAGATGCTGTGTTAATAAATTTTATTTATTTTGATTTAGAGGATCGGTTGAGAAGCATTTATGCTTCTGTATAAGAAAAGGGTAATTTAACTATAAAAATCATGATTTTGTTTTTGTTTTGCCAAAATACACATCTGGGAACAGTTGCTCAATTTCTAAAGCAAGAGACAAGTATCCACATTAACATATTGCCTTCACATTTCATAAATGGCCAGAAATTTCCTTTTTGAACTTTCCAAAGGAAATAACCTTTAGAATTCCAGTTTTAGTCTATTGGAACGAAGTCAGAAGATACTTGCATTATGGAAACCTGAATGTTTCAAAGAGAGAATGTCTTGTAGCAATAGCAATAGCAATAGCAGTTAGACTTATATACCGCTTCATAGGGCTTTCAGCCCTCTCTAAGTGGTTTACAGAGTCAGCATATCGCCCCACAGTCTGGGTCCTCATTTCACCTACCTCGGAAGGATGGAAGGCTGAGTCAACCTTGAGCCGGTGAGATTAGAACCGCTGAACTGCAGATAACACTCAGCTGAAGTGGCCTGCAGTACTGCATCCTAACCACTGCGCCACCTCGGCTCTTTTTTTTGTAGAATAGAACACAAGTTGATAAGCACATCATTTAGATGATAGCCCCATTATTGCCAGAAAAGGTGGCAGATCAGAGTCTTTTTTCTGCAAAGCTGATAATGAGGTTGCTAAAACAGTACTTACTTTCAAACAGATGGCTAAACACATCTATTGGTTCTATTGGCACACAGATGGCCCTAAGTAGCTATTAAAACTTGGCTCCTCTCCAGCCACTGTCCATATTAAGAGCAATGATTGATGGATGCCTTTTCTCTCCAGCAGTTAAATGAGCTATGCAGAAAACAGGAGAGAATCACTTCTGGTCTTCCCACTGAGGCACAATAAGACCACCTATGTAGACAGAGGAAACCATGCCAGCATACTATGTGCTGCCTCATAGATCAGGAAAGCATGTTAAATAGGCAATCTGGATGCACTCTTATTAGTTGAACAAAAATTGCAGAAAGCACTACTGATTAATAGTGCTCTTCCAAATCCTCATCCCGCCACCCAAGTTCTGAATGTTCAAATGTTGCACCTTCTGAATATATTGAATGTTAAAGATCATTTATGCAGTTTCCTTAGTATCTAGATGCTTCTGAGTTTCACATTGAGTTTTGCAATACCACATATTCTGTCACACAAAACATTCATCATTCACATCCTAGAATAATGAATAGCAACAGTCGCAATATTTATTTTTTGCCGGGGTCATTTAAATGCCTGGCAGTCATAGTCAAATTCAAATTTCAATAACTAGCAACTTCAGGTAACTTTATGTTAAAATATGGCTTTAAAGTCCACAATTCAAGTATGAAACAGAGACTGCGATTTTTCAAGAATTTTCTTCTTTTACGATTTTATTACCTGTATTAGGGATGAAAGAGAGCTTTTATCCCTAATTGAACTCTTCAGTTAGTTGTTATGTTGGCTTAGGATACACTAAATTTTGTGGAGTTTACTTTGTTTTGAGAATACCAATGTGTTTTGGCAGGCAAGAAATTAAAATCACGCTAGTGCAACACTGGGGCCTTTCTAGCCAACCTGTGGGCATGTTATCCCCCCCTCCTATTTTCTGAAACCATAACATAATTGCATTTGATTTAAATTACAAGACTAGATATTATTTTCATTTATCTTAATTCTTCTATTATTTAAATACTTCATTTTGATTATTCTGAAAATTTATATCTAGATTTTTATAGCTAAGCATGATAACTAGAAGTGTGTGTGTGTGAGTGTGTGTGTGTGTGCATAAAATCAACTTTCTGTTATATAAGTTTTAGTTTGACTTTTTTCACAGCAGATTACATTTTAAAAAGCTAATTTAAGTATTGGGTGTTAATATTTAAGAGAAAATATTGAAATGTAGCTGAATAGTTTTGATTATTAAAATGCCTTAACCATTTAACAGGGGATCAGACATAAAGATAAAAAAGAAGGGAAAAAATAAAACTGCTATTTTTTTCTGACATGTACACCTGATAACTTATCTCAAAAGATTTAATATTTTTTCCCTATCACACTCCGAGAGCACATTTTGGCTAATCTACTCTAAACTCCTCTTAGAATCTATCAAATATCCTGGATAACATTGTTTAGCATTTTTTCCAGGATTTTATGAGTTTAATTTTAGTCTTTAAAGTGCATTTGGCTTTAATGAATACAGACAAGTCCAAAATGAGTTGGCTTGAGCGTTTTAGGATTTCCTGTTCATTTTCAGTTTTGAGTGTAAGGGCAGTTCTGACTTATAGTTAACAGATGCTGCTATTCTATCTATGTCATAACCTGTAATATTTTCACCTGATTCATACAGTCATTAAGAAAATAATACAAATTGAAAGTTTTACCATTTAGCACAGGGTTCACAACCCACAGGCTACATGCACTTCACCCAAATTGTGAAATGACAATATATTTACATAAAACATAGCTTCACTGCACAGTTTTGACTGCATTGAAAACATATGAATTGGTGCCAAAATTACCCTAGTATATATTTTGGATTATTAAATTATGGCACTTTGTATAAACAAACATTATTAAGATAAATATCAATTATTTGTGAGAATTCTAGCATAAAGGGTAACCATTCTAACAAATTAACATTTAAGAAATTCAAATAATATGAACGGTGCTTCTTAATATCTTGAGATGAGTTTAATGTATCAAAAAACTCTACTTTGTTGGACATGTATATTTTATAAATTATCTGTCCATTTCATTATGTTGGAAAAGTGAAGTCCAGGTAGTCCTTGACTTATCACCATTATGGGGTCCGGAATTGTTGCTTTTAGTGCAGTCATAAAGCAAGATACCATGTGACTGCATCATTTAGCAATCACAAATTCTGGTTGCTGTTCTTAGGCAAGAATTGTGGATTGTTAACTGAGTACCACCTTGAACAAATGGGGTTATCTGGTAGCTTCTGCCTTTTGCAATTGTGGTGACATGCAGACAACATATGTGTCAACTCCTAATACTGAGAAAAGGCGGGGAGCACACTCCATGCATACTTTCAGCTAGAGTCGGATCTCAGATTACCACAGCAGACTTGGGAGGGGTTCACCTCATTGGGGAATATGATTTATGTGATTTATGACACAGACTGAGGGGAGCAAAAGAACAGGGGTAAAGTTCAGCTATAATTCACATAAGGCTAAGATCTGAATGTGAAAAAAGACATTGCCAAAATGCTCCTAATAAATGACTGGTTTTCTTTTGAAATTTGACTCAAGGCTCATGAATCAATTAGGGCATTCGTTGGAAATCTGACAATATGGATAGTACCTGCCCTTTGTGTCCTGATCAGGGTATACTTGAGGATTCAATGGCAGCATGAAAGATCGCAATTAGCAGCCTGTCATGGTCACATGACCATATTTTATGATGGTTGTGCCAGAACATGGTGCTTATCTCCATATTTATTTATTTGTTTGTTTATATTTGTTATTTTCAAAAATAATTCAAGGTGGCAAACATATCCGTATTTCTAGCCAGGTGCCTTAACCACTAGACCAAAACTGGCTCTTTATTTTGTGTGTGTGTGTGTGTGTGTGTGTTAATTATAATGGTTTCAATGAAAAAAACATTGGTTTATTTAACAAACACTATATATGTTTTTTATGACCACCGCAGAAAGGTTATAAAATTGTACTATTCAATATGTTTTACAGCTGTCACAGATGGCAGTTCCATTATGGTTATAAATCAAGGACTACCTGCATTTGTGCCACTTGTCCTATACTGCTACATCCCTTAGCTTTATTTCAATATTCTGTAGCTGTGTAACTGAGATATTGAGACATTGTGTATTTATGTTATTTTATTACCTGTTAGTAGTGATGGTGAATGAGAATGAGCAAATCTGGCAAGTTTGACTCTGTTCAGTTGGTCATTTGTTCTACTAAAAGAGTTTCGGTTATTTTGAAAACATTCGATATTTATATATCTAAAAATTCAAGTCTTCAAACCCCTAAAGACTTTGAAGAGGATCCTTAGTGGAGAAAAAAAAACCTTTTTGGTTAGGGATAGATATTTGCCAGAGAAAAAAGTCCATAGGAAATGAGCACTTTTTCATTACTTTCCCAAGAAACAAGAGATTAGGAAGACAATATACATGTCTCTGTGAGTAATTTGCTAATTTTTTCTGATGTTGAATATTGCAGTTCCCAAGACAAGGTTTGCAGCAGACACAGCAGCAACAACAAACAGCTGCTCTGGTCAGACAACTCCAAAAACAGCTGTCAAGTAAGTATGTAGCATTAGATAAAGATTCTTTTCTGCTTCTTTCCATCTGGGGTTTTGCATATTTGGAAAACAGTTAACTGCCAACTCATTATGGTTAAATAATAAATCTGGCTATCGTTGCTGGAGAGTAAAAGAATGTTGTTAGTGATAAAGCCCCTATCTTACAAACTAGATGTATGCACACTGCTGTTTAGTAAGAATGTTTTAAATATTGTATTTCAGCTTATTTGTCATGGATTGGTGGTCAACCTACTTGCATATAAAATTTCTTTTTCATATGGTTATTAAAAAAAATGGATGGAGATCTACTCATATACATTCAAGATTATGTAGCTAACTAGCTAACCAACTAATAATATAAGGAATTAATATATTTTTACAGACCTATATACTGACCTATTACAAGGCTCTAGACAATTTACAGAAGTAAAATCTCCAATAAAACAATCTGTTACTGAACCCAACAAGCCAAAGGTTTTCCAGTTCAAATCCAAACCATCAATAGATTCTAAATGCCTGTCTAAATAAGATTATTTTTAGAACTTTGCAGAACTCCAACAGGCTGAGAGTTGATCTATCTCAGGGTCAAGCTCTTTCATAATTCTGGAGCTGTCACTTAAAATATATGTTTCCAGTCTTGACTCATTGTGACACAGAGATCCCAAATATCTTCTGTCAGAATGTTTATACAGGATGGGTAGATTTTGACCATGGCAGGCAGTGTGTCAAGTTATATAAATGACATATGTGTTAACACTAGTATTTTGGACTTGGAAAATCTATTGGCAATTATTCCTGTGAGGCAATTGCAGCCTTATTATGAACCAAGTTTCCATAGTTGTTTTCAAATAGTTTCAAGGGCAGTCCCAGGTAAAGAGCAATATAGTAGCCCAAGCATGAGGTAAGAAAGATGTTAGATACAGGTGCCAAGGCTATTTCAGTTCAAGAGAAATCATAACTATACGTCAGGCAAAGCTGAACAATGTCCCTCCCACAAGCTGTAGGCTTTATGTGTTGCTTAAGTACAAGCCATGAGTGAACCCTCAAGTTACAGACTTGTTCCTTCAGGGGGAATGAGACCCATCAAAAACCAACATACTTGGCTGTTTATACATGAAAAGAATTTATAGATGTTTTATTTATTTGGCAGGTGGGAGGGGTTGTAAGCTGCCCAGGATTTAGTACAAGAGGGTTGGCTATTTAAGTGTTTTAAATAAATAAATTATATTCAAGCTGGTTTTGTAACATCTAGTTGCTTATAGCTTCCAAACATTAAATAAAGATCTCCATAGTATCTCTTGTCCAGCCACAGGTCAATTTGTATCATTATCATATTGATGATAGCCTTACCTCTTATCACAGGATGCTCTCACCCAAACATATATATTTTCATATAGAAGCTTAATAACATATTATCAAATGTTAAGTCCTGTAGCACTTATCATGGAGAAGCCAAAGACTAGACTATTCCCCATTAATCCATTGGAAACCATCAGTGTCCGCAACTCTTACGGGTTTTTCAGAAGGATACAATGATTAATGCTATTGAATCCCATAGGATTAGAAAGGGTACATTCCAACCAGATCCTAATGAAGATCAACCATAAGGTGACAATGTAGCTTCAGTCCCAAGTTCAAATTTGAATCTGAAGGAAAGGATTCAAATGGTGCATTTCATCAAGAATCCTTTGAAGCTAATACCTTACCAGATTTTCAAAATCCTCTTCAAGGAAGCATTCATCATCTCCCAAAGTAGGTGGCGAAGGCATGGATGGGTATTTTCTGTGATGGAACTACCTACCAATCAATTGGAGAGACAAATTCTCAATGACTCTTAAAGCCCTGGATTGTCAAATCTATAATATACCAGAGGTGGATCAGTCTAAATTAATTATCCATCCTTTCAGAGATTAAAGACTCTAATCATTCATATGTTGAACCAGAAAATGACCAGACCATGACAAAGGACTTCCATCTTCATGCCTCATCTGTTCTGAAATATGGACAAGAAGCAATATATGACCTTCTGTATAAATTGGAACAGAGATCACCTTAGCCAAACTCATGCTTGCCATGGGAGTCATGAAATATTAAGTTCATTCAAAAACAACTTCCACCTTGAGAAATTCCAACAGAAGGATCACACCATAGCTTATTCCTGCAATCCAAATATACTCACACTTGGTCCTCTGGAGAACAGCACCTTTGGTTATTGCCAAATGTTTTCGTATTTTGCCTTTAGTCCTTTATTAGCCATTAGTTTCCCATAGCCTTAAGTGATAGGAGAGGTATATGAGCAGTATGAAGATTTTATGAGGTGAGTGAAACCAGAACACTGAGTTTCTTAAAAAAATAAACTAATAAAAAGAGCTTCAGAAAAAAAAATCCAGTTCCTTAGAATTCAAAATATATACATTGCCCCATACACGTGCCTTTGAATAATCATTATTTGAATTTTAGGCATGTAAAGTTCATGTCTGTTTCAAACTAAGGCTTTCGATATTTCCCCCCACAATTGTTACCTGGAAATACATTTTGACCTGCTGTATGGGATTTTAATTTGATGACATTACAGCATTTTTATGTTTTTGCTCCTTAGGTAACCAGCCCCAGCAAGGTATGAATCCGTACAGTCATCTTCCACACTTCTGAAACTGAAAAATGTCAGGAAGAGAAAGTATTTGCACTGAAGAACAGGGAGAGCGGAATTTGTTGCACTAATTACTCTCACCATTTGTCTGCGTGTGTGTTGCCAATAATGTGAATATGTAAGAAATAGAAGATTTTATGTTATCATTTTGCCCATAGCAAATTACAGAAATATAAATTATGTGGGACTTAACCTGCGGCTGCAAAATATATGGATTTGGTGCTTGACTATTTCTTTTTTGTGCAAAAAAAAGTTTTTCTAAATAATTAATACTGTGCTGGACCAAATGCTGACTAAAAAGACACCTTTATTTATTTGTTTGTTTATTTATATATTTATTAATTATTTCCCCCTCATTTGCTAATTTTTGGTTGTGTGTATATTTATATAGGAATGGCATATATTTTTTTCATGTCCTATGCTAAGCACATTGGGTTCCAAATGGACTCCACAGTTCTTGATCTGCAGCCATAATTTAACTCTAATAAAATTGCTAAATTTATTTTTCAGTGACGACATGCAAAGAATCAAAATGTGATTTCAAAGCCTCAATTATCACTGTGCATCTTACTTCGAGGGGAGGGGGAGGAATTGTTAGCTGGTGTTGGAGATGTCACAGCTGATTTCAGGCTATAACCTAGTACAGCAGTGGTTCCCAAACTTGGCAACTTTAAGACTTGTGGACCAAGTTTGGGAACCACTGTAGTACAGGGTGATTACTATCCATATCCATTCACTGCTAACATTTGTGTGATGTAAATTATGCCCTTTCTTTAAAGAATTACAGCTTGCACTTTTAGATACTGTAGGTAAGAAGCATTATTTCTTTCAGATTGCTTCCTCTGTTTTCAGAGAACATACTCCTAGGGTTTTCACTAGATAGCTCACTAGATATTAAAATGGCCTTTTGCTATTTTGTAGTCTATGAATGATCCAAAATAATTCCAAGAACTACAATTTTTCAGTAGATAATAGGATTCTGACTACCATGTTATGATTAAAGCTTTCTCTAGTAACTGGAGCATTCAACATGCCAGAGAATGTATATGTGTGTTTCTGTAGGAAGCATGCATGCATGCATATGTGCACATGTGGACATATGCATGCATGTGCGTGTATGTGTGAAGGTATATATCTATATGCATGTTTTCATAGATGAGAAATATTCTATAAATAGGAACCCTGTCCTATATTTTAACATGTCATAGACTGTTGGTATAAAAGAAAGAGAAGGAATTCAGAATGACAGAGTTGGAAGGGATATTCGAGGTCTTCTAGTCCAACCCCATGCTCAAGGAGGAAACCTTATACCATTACAAACAAATGGTTGCCCAATTTTTGCTTAAAAACCTCCAGGGTTGGAACAACCATAACTTCTGGAAGCAAATTTTTCCACTGATTTATTAAGTGCAGATCCAATGGAAAACCAATAACTGATGATATTTATTGCAGCTAGGGCTTTCACTACAAAATGTCTCAAATGGGGAGTTTAAAAAAAGCTGCTATATCAGGGGTGTCAAACTGTCAGTTCATGGGCCGGATGCGTCATGTGCAAGCCACACCCACCCCAGCTCTGTGAAGGGGGAAAATGTCACGATATGTCATGTGACAGCAAGGTGTCACCCCAAGTTTGACACCCATGTGCTACATAACAGCAACTAATCTATTAAGGAGGCATGCCTACAGTGTTAGCTTTGTGAGGAGGTACATTTTGTAATGAATCATCAAGTAGAAACTGATGTTATACTGTAGAATTCAGGTTTGGTTATCTCAGTGGTAGAATCTAATATTTATCCACCGTATTGATTGTTTGTAAGAACTTGGCTTTAGCGTCTGAGCCTTAGAATAATGACTTTTCATTTTGTATAATAGGTATTCAGAAGTTAAAAACATTGATTTTATTTATGTAAATACATCTGTATTTATAACTTTGTTGCACAAGCACAACTATATTATTCAACGAATTTATATCTGAAATAGAAACTATTTTAACTTTGTGGAAGTGATATTTGCTCATATTTGGGTAAAGACTAAATAGAAGAAACTGTTTTGTGAATTTTGAGTATTTTTAGAGTTAGATGAACAAATTTTTGAATGTGTTTCATGTAGGGCATATTTAAAATATTTGAGACTATTTTACCACATATTCTGTCATAACTATAAATTTTCTTGTGATAGAATTACAGTAAGGATTACTGTGGAGGAAATAATGTCTATTAAGCAAATCAGTCCATTGATATAGATTAAAATTTGAATTTGCAACACCAAGCCAATGCATTTCTATCTTCTCATAATGATATGAGAATATTTAGGGTAATAAATATTTCTGTGAATTACTATGTACACTGTGAAAACATTTAGGTTGCACATTGTGAAAAAACTTTTGAAATTTCTTGTAATTTGAATGTATAACATTATTTACCTTTGAAATGAAACCATGCCTATTTTCCTTATTATAGACTTTGTTTTCTTAAAAATAATTAACAGTTGTAAATATATTTTAAAAATATTTGGTATTGCAACAAATTGCTGATTTTATATTCTTTGATGTCTGTGCAATTATAACAAATGCAGAATAATATTTATTACTATTAGTCACTGGTTAAATATATAATGTGCAAAAGATGGCACATCCCAGCACTATAGGTGGGTGGTAGGTGTTTCAGTTTTCCTACATTTCATGTTTCATTTGGTGACAATCCATCAAATCTGGAGATCAACAAATAGTCCTGAGATTTTATCATTGGATGGAGTCTGGCTTATCGTTAGGTGAAATTGATAAAAATATATTTCTGAATTGATAATATTCAAAAATATGCCTAACTGGCATAGAAAACCCAGTGAAAATCCAAATCAGAAACTACTATATGCTTTTTAGATATGGAATTTGAAATATAAAACTAAGAATTGGCTGGAGGTTTTTTTAAAAAGGCCTATTTTTTCTAGATTCTTTTTCCTGTAATAGTTATTCTGGAAGCTCTTAGACTGAATGATGATGAAAATCTTCTTTTTGTTGCCAGTGCCTGATAAGAATCTGGCAAATTTACAGAAATGTTGATTACTTTATTTTTATAATATATGAAGCCAAATATGGCTGCTTGAGTCTTTATAAAGTTTCAGTTAGAATATGAGTCAACTATTCCCTCTCTGAACAAACTCCAGATGTGTATGCATGCTTCCAAAATTATCAGCAGTAGCCATGCAGGCAAGCAATTTGGGCAGACCATGTCCATGCATCTCGAAAGCACTTAGGCTGCAAAAGATTGAAGTTATATTTCTGAAAAGGGAATTGGCATAGAGAATGCCTGACAGGGGCATAGACAAATTAAGATTGTGTAAATTGTGCATCATACATCAAAACAGAATATTATGTTTGGGTTTTAAGGTATGGTTATAACAATGCACTTATATTCACAAACAGGTAGACTAAATCTTGGTTTACAGGACATTTGTTCAAAATGTAGCATTTTAAATCACCACATTCCAGGTCAATTATGCCAGGGAAAATGTCAGCTTGAGATTCTTATTCATACCAGGAAATCATTTTTAACAGTAAATTTCTTAAGAGAACCTTGAAATATTGATTTTCTCCTGGTGTTACATATAACAAAATTAATGAAGTTGTCAAGTAAATGGTTGAATTTAGCCATATATAAATGTTTGTTGATTCTCATCTTTTTTCTTACCTGGGCATGAAAAGTAGGCAACTCCAGTCCTTCAGCAGCTAACATATTGAGGAGAAAAATAAGTTGGATTTCTAGAGCAACAACTATAGATTTAGGAAAATTAGGATACACAGACATACATACACACAAAGTCACACACACAATCATATACATGCACCTAACTCTTGTGTAAAGTAAACTCAGCAAAAATGAATTATATCCTCCAAAGTTGAAAAAAATTAAGATGTGTAGTCTACATATTAATGATAGCAAGAATCTTGGTTCAATATTGAAGCTCATGATTGGGCAACGAAGTTATCTTATCCTCTTTCCAAACAATAGGTTTAAATGTACAAAATGTAAACTTAAACTATAGCAGGCATGAAATCCTCTTACCTAGAGTGCGCATGCATAGAACGTTTGCAAATGCGTAGAGCTTTCGTGATGACGTCTGGGCAGGTGGGTAGAGCCTCCTGCCACCGCCACTACTGGTTCGCCTGAACTGGTTCATTACTGGTTCACCTCTGAACTATAGCCACTGTTTATAAAATCATAACATTGGAGAGACCATTGAGTTCAATGTCCTGCTCAGGTTTTTCCTACAAATGATAGCCTATCATCTGCTTGTAGTCTTTTAGTGGACCTAGCATAAGTAAACCTACAAACAGTGATCACTATTTGTTAATTGCTTCCACTGCTGAATTACGTGATTAAGAATTCTAAGATACAACTGCAAACTGTCTTCTTGTAATTTCAATTTTTCTTACTCTGCAATAGGTCACACTGTTTTCATTGTTTGAAATATTATCAGTTTTCTTCTCTAAAAGCTAAACATGCCAGTTACGTTATTCTCTCCTAATGGGACTTAATTCCTAGTCTTCTATGTCTTGCTGTCATTTTTAAAACTGGAAATTCAGTTTCTCTGAATTATTCTTATTCTTATGGTTTCCAGAGCCATACTCTAGGAATAATTCAGTTCCATCAATAGGATCTGATTAAGTTATTTATCTAAAAAAAATGTAAGCCTGACAAAATTTGTTCCTGCTAAGTAAATTGTCAGATTGGCTGTGTAAAAATGAAGATGTGCTAGAAACAACGATTTCTTAAAATAAATCAGGTGTCTTTCAGGGTCATCAGGAGAATGGCAGGTGACCATGAATTTAGAAAGAGAAGAGGGAAAAAAGCCATTAAATATAAATCCTGGAGCATATGCCTATAAATGAGTTTGATTTTTGTGTATTGCATTGGACAATCTCTGCTTATATGATTTCCATTCTTACGTGCAATAAGGAAAGTAAGTTTGTTGATTCATGTCTTACAAGACTTCTACCAAATAAGACAATTCCTGAATAATGGGTTATCTGAGATTTATAGCCATGTCTGCATGAAGCTTGTAGCAATTATTCTTTTTCATTCCTTCCTTCCCATGCACTAGCAACTTTAGAAGTTGAATCCATGCATACTACTCAGATTTAGCAGAGCTCTTCTTTCTGAACAAAGCTGAAATGTTGCATTCAAGATGTCTACCTATATTTTGGAGATTCTGGTCATTTTGTATATGGATGCCTAAAAAGACTACCCTCTCTTTCAAAGCATTGACAAAGAGTTGTGTTTGTTAGGATGGCAGTGAGGACCATTTGTAGACAGATCCTTACTATGCTGTAGACCTAGCTGCTTGTAAATTGAGGAATTCTAGGTATTAGGGGATGATACTGAAACAACCACAAGTGAAGTGGAGTCCAAACAGTAATTCATGTTAGTCTGCCCACTGAGATAGACCGTGAAGTACAATTACAAGTCTAAATTCTGGCATCATAGCAACTATCCTGAAACATCTAGCATTCACAGATAGGATCTTTTTAGTTTGTCTATGTAGACTACTGGCCAGTACGGAAAATGAGGATTCATTACACAATCACTGGACAACTGCTACTCACCATCAGTACTCCAATTTTATCCATGTTCCATGTTACATTTTCCCAATAGGCTTGTATTCAGACTCACAATCCAAACCTTCACTGACACAAGGATGTCATCCCCTTTGATTCCGGGGATTTAACAATTTCTGCCTGTAGAACTCAACTCCCACTACTGATTGTCCCGTAACAGGTATAATTTCATATTTTGATCATTCAGTAACAGGTATACTTTCACATTTTTCAGTGTGAATATGCAAAATTCATACTGTCGTGAGGTATTTAGAAAAGAAGGGGCATAACCCCTGCCCACCCTTAATTCTTTATATAATCTCATTCCCATGAAATACCATCACACAATGCAGACTTATCCTTTCTGATGGATTAAAACTATCAAGTGCAGAGTCATCCTATCTGATCACTGCAAGAACACATTTTTAACATCTAAAAGTATAATCTATGATTGTTGGCTCTAACCAAAAGGGATCTTACTCTATTCTATTTATTTCTGAAATCTTGGAACACTGCCGAGGACATGTGCTTTTTATTAGATTATATTTACGTGGTCATATAATCTGATTAATATGAAAGAGGATCAGGAATATTTAAGGACCTTTGATTCTTGTTACAGGAAGTTTGAATATACAGTAATAACGTCTTTCAGCTTCCAACCTAGTTGATTTATATTACATTTTTCATTCAGTGTACATACTCATGTACTGTACTTGTAGCAATGTAGATACTTATGAGCCATTACTCAAAAAATTCAGTGAGGTAGGTAATCATTAGTCATCCTAATGACTTTGACAATTTTTAAAAGATTATAATATTTGTCATGATTTTAACTTACATTGTAATATAGTTTGATATATTGCTGTTTTACCAATCCCACTCTCCACACTGATCAAGTTCTTCAACATCTTTACAATAGTTTATGCTAAGTTGTAGCATTCATTTACCTGCATTAGATATTATACATATTTCCTTAAAATATTTCAGATAAATCAAGCTAAGTAAAATTAATTTTTGTGTGCATTCCTGCTTCCCAATCAAAGATCCAGACTGCTTTATAGAATCTGTCAATTTTTAGTATCGATTTATTGTTAATTTTGATCTTATCAGGAAAGGGGATTTCTTTTAAGTAGCCAACAAGCTATAGGCATTCATTTCTCAATCCATCCACCATCATTCACATCCCACTGAAATTTTCTATTGTGATGGCTGATATTTCTAAATTTTATTTTGGGAGTTATAATTTTGTAATCCACTCGAGTTTGATAACAATCCCCTCCCATACACATTCCTTTCTAGACATCTTTGTCCATTTTAAAAGGATCTACTGTGTTTTTAACATGGCATTTTTAGCCATCAAAGATGTTCTTCAGCATTAGCATCGTCTTCTAAGAGGTGCAGAATGCCCATATCAAAGAATTTGTAAGACTCGCATAGCACCAGGTCAGATGGTCAGTGGTGGCTTTTCTTTCATTTTCACTTTCATAATTATTAAATTTCCACATTGGTTTACTTTGCTGTTTTCCATTTGTTGGTCATTGGAATTATTTGCAATTGTTCTTTTAGTATACTTCCTCTTTAAAGAAATTCTTACTATTTTTAAGCTCTCTTTCTTATCACTTTCTCCCTAACACAAAACCATTTTTATAATTGCTAACTTTATTAAAATCTGACTTTTTAAAAGTTGAATATACATATTTATTGTATTCAGATTTAGTTTCCTTTCGAATCAGTTATCTCCAATATTACATGGTAACTTTTTTCTGATGTCCTTGCTACTTCCACTTCCTCAGCTAAGTTTTCCCTATTAGTAATTATGTTCTTTCTTGCATATTTTAAAAATTTGCCCTGAGAAGACAGCTTAAGAACAATATGCATGTGTTTAGTACATAATACGTATAGTACTAGGACAATATTTTTGGACATACCATTTCTGTTATTTTAAGGGCACTCTGGATCATATTAATTTCATGTGACCATAAAAAGAAACATGATTTCTTGCCTTTCAATAAAGCATACTGGTAATAAATAGTATGCTTTAAAACCTATGATATATAAAAATATTTCCTCACATACAATAATTGGCAATATAATTAATATTTACATTTTCATTTCTTCACATGCAGTTTTGATAGCATTCATTGTAAAAAAATAATGCAAGCTTTATTTTTTTTTAAAAAGCACTGAAATAAGTATTTCATATTTGTTCTTCCACTGCCCCCACAAAAGGACTTCTGCATGAAAGAATATTGTAGTATTACAAACAAATCCATATTCTTTGTTGTAAAATATTTGAAACTATCAAGAATTAGAAAATGGTCATTCACATCAATAATAAATGAAACCAGCAATCATGTTTTTCAAAAGCTTTACACTGTTTATACTATCAAGTGGGAAATAAAAACTAGCATTTAAAAATCCATTATTGTGCTAAATATTTTGTATTGCAAGTATCTTTAGAGAATATGTTGTCATTTTTACTGTTATTTTTGTTGGAAACTTAAGTGCCTTAAGTTTTTAAGGTTACTTTTTAATATTGTCTTAAAATCAACACTAGGTCATAATGCAAAACCTTCCCAAACCTAAATGTCTTTTAGCTTGACAACTGTAAAGTTAGAATTGTAATAATAGCACCAAAATTGAAATGCCTTTTGACTGGTTTTGATTAAACATCTTTGAAAGCCAAATGGTCCATTTTAGATTTTATTCCCATTTGAAATAACTTGAAGATATGTCACTGTGAAATCCCTGCCAAACTGATTCTTAGCCACACATTTATATATGCCTGAATTTGATGAATTTGGATTGTGAATTATTAATGTTCCTTGTGGGTGAATAGTCTCACTTCCAGATAGTTGACCTTTGATGCCTGTGAAAAATAATGAATGGTTAGGCAGCTCCCATGTAATTTCTGGATCTGGTATCCCGAATGCCATACAATGAAGCTGAATCGCCAATCCAGCCACAGTATGAATATTCCTTGGGGGTCGTTTTGTAATCCTTGGTGAATGTCCCACAATCGTTACAAAAACAACTACCTTTGAATCACCAATATAGTTCTGAGCTTTGCACATATAACTTCCTCTATCATGAATATTGGTTTCTCTAATAAGTAAGGTACCATTCTCCAGTAATGAATACTTCCCATTAATTTGAGGCTGGTTTAAGACAAAGCCACTGGGGACCGTCCATATAATGTTTGGCTTGGGACTTCCAGTAGCGAGACAGTGAAGTGATAAAGATTCCCCATTCATACTTTTTATTTCCCCTCCAGAGTGGAAAAAAATTGTGGGTGTTTCACCAGTTTCCAATATGATCAACTTTTCAATGTAGCCTACTTGATTTTTAGCTGTACATCTGTATTTTCCTGCATCTGCTTTAGAAAGTCTATTGATGACAAGGGTGCCGTTGCTTCCCAAATAAAACCGGAGTGTTCTAGTACCAACGTAGAACCATGTACCATTTGGTAATATCCAAATTATCTCAGGACGTGGGTTTCCATCAACAGAACAATTCAAAAATACGGCTTTTCCAGGTTTTGCTATAACTTTCTCATTAAATGGGTTCCTGAAAATTGGGCGCCTTAGAATCTCAAGGACTTCCAAATGGACTACCAGCATGCTTTCTCCCCCATCATTACGTGCTACGCAAATAAACTCCGCCGTATCTGAAGATCTTACATTGCGAATTTCAAGAGTCCCGTTCCTATGTATGGTTATCCTACTTCCATAGTATGGGGCTGTTAGGAAAATATTATCAGGCATGATCCACATAATTTGGGGCACAGGATCTCCTTCAGCATTGCAAGCTATTTGCTTTTTTGAGTGTTTTATAGCTGTTGCTTTAATGACAGTCTTGTTAGAATACAAACCATTGATCAGAGGTGGCTTAGAGATTACATCTAGTTTATAAACCTTGGCATCATCTCCACCAGAATTGCGTGCTACACACATGTATTCTCCAGCATCTAAAAGCCTTACTTTAATGATTGACAAAGATCCATTAATATGGAGACTATATCTCTGAGTAGAAGCTAAAATCATTTTGTTAGAAGGCAACAGCCAAAATATTTTAGGCTTAGGTTCCCCTATAGCATCACAGTCAAAGAATGCATCATCTCCTGCTTTTATCTTTGCATAGGCCTTTAAATTCTGCTTGATACGAGGTGCAGCTGCAACCACTTTTATCTGCACTTTCATCTCATCTTTTCCCAGTGTATTTTGAGCATGGCAAGTGTAATCCCCCTCTTCCAGCATTCCAACCTTATTGAAATACAGTGTCCCATTGTTAAACAGAGTATACTTCTTCAGCGTATGTCCACTATCATCGGCTTGCATTGCGTTATTGATTGTTGTGCCATCTGGCAGACTCCAAGATATTTCTGGCTCAGGAGATCCTGAAGCTTTACAATCCACTTTGAAGTCTTTCCCATAAGGTACCAGTTTCTTAAAATACTGCTTGTGATCAATTTTTGCAGGCTTCATTGTCACGCTGACTTTCAAAAGGGTGAAATCATCGCCCATTCTGTTTCGTGCTACACAAATATAATCACCTGCATCCTTTTCTGTGATTGACTCAACAGCTAAGGATCCATTAGGATACACGTGGATTTGGCTTCCCATTCTGGAAAAAAAGGGAAAAAAACCAATCATTTATTTTCAGGTGTATGTCGAAGGTGTTGATTCTCATAGTAACTGAATAATTCTTAAAAAGCTATTCAAGAATTATAGGCTTGGAAGGAACCCAACTCAAAGTCCCTTATTGGTAAAGGAATTCAAATTAAAGTATTCCTGACAGGCAGCCTAAATATTTCACCTAAGCTTACCCACTGTGAGAAAAAAATTAATTAGCTGTCAGAGTCAGTGCTGATGAAATATAACTTACATTAGTGGGGTCCTAAAAGTGAAAGCAGTAGTTTTGTATTTAATACAATGGCTGCTAAAATAAATTTTGCAATTTACCTAAAGATATTTGTTTGTTTAGTTCTATCACTGCCCATCTTAGTCAAGTATATAACAATTGAAAATATAAAAAATAATAAAACAGTAAAATACAATGGTTTGGGTTCTTGTTGAACAGTAAGCAGTACTGTAAGTAAGAAGAGAGTCCGTTTGGTCTAGTGGTTAAGGCACCAGGCTAGAAAAGGGGAGACCATAAACTCTAATCCTGCATTAACCATGGAAGGCAGCTAGATGATCTTGAGCCAGGGGCACTCTCTCAGCCCAACTCACCTCACAGGGTTGTTTTGGGGAAAATACGATGAGGAAATAATATTGGCTTCCTGGAGTTACTTATAAAAATAATAATACAGCATAAAAAAATTCTTTAAAAAAAGAAACAAATGAAGTTGCCCTCAGAACTAGTGGAAATACTATTATTAAGTGGGCTATAAGGCAGGCTGTAGGGACGCAGCTAAGTGGCTAAGATACTGAGCTTGTTAATCAGAAAGATCGGTAGTTCAGTGGTTTGAATCCCTGGCGCCGCGTAACAGAGTGAGTTCCCATTACTTGTCCCAGCTTCTGCCAACCTAGCAGTTTGAAAGCAAGTAAAAATGCAAGTAGAAAAATAGTGGAAGGTAACAGTGTTCCGTGCACCTTCGGTGTTTAGTCATGCCGGCCACATGACCACGGAGACTTCTTTGGACACCGCTGGCTTTTTGGCTTTGAAAAGGAAATCAGCACTGCCCCCTGGAGTTGGGAACAACTAGCACATATGTGCGAGGGGAACCTTTACCTTTACCTATAAGGTAGGCTGCACAAAGAACATCTGACATATACATAGATAGAATTTCATGTAATAGGCAAGTTTGCTCTATAAATCAGGTGTGATACTTTCTCTCCAAAATTACAAAAGGTAAGTCAAAAAGGAGGCTAAAGAAAAAGCTGTGCCATGTGTCACATGTGTCAGAGTCTTTTAGGTATTTAGGTATTTATTAATATTTGTATGCCGCCCTTTTCCCTGGGGGGACTCAGGGCGGCTCACAATTCAGAAGGAGGGGGGGACAAACCAAGTTACATATAGGACAGTAGTTCGTTAAAAAACACAACATTCATACTATTCGGGTACGGTGAGGTTTTTAGCCCCAGGCCTGTCGGGACAGCCAGGTTTTAAGGGCTATGCGGAAGGTCTGGAGGGTGGTGAGTCCCTCAACCTTTCTGCTTTTTTTTCTGATTAAAGTTTTTTATTTTTCCCTTTTCATAACATATAATTACATGTATACTATTACATAACCAACATCATATTGTATTGTTAAATGTTTACATCAATTCATCTTACCAACAACTCCCAAAAACCAATTATTGGCTCTTCTGCTCTCCATATACCATATTTGTGCTTTATCCATCATTTTCTTCTCCCTCTCTCCTCCCCCTCCCTACCTCCTTTCTTCCCTCTGTCCTTTTCTTCTCAACTTACCCTTCTTCTCTCCTTCTCCTCCCTCCTCTTAACATTCTTTATTTCTCTCTCTCCCTCTTTCCCCCTTTGCCCTCTCCCTCTCTTCTTCCTTACCTTTCTGGTCTACTTCCCACTCTTCATCTCATTTACTTGGTGTATTTCTGCTTCTGAGCAAGCTCCCTTTTATGTTGATGGTATTTATAATTCTTTTTCAATATACATATTTATTTTTTCTTCTCTTTTTAGTAAAAAAAGTGATATAACATAAAAGTATACATATATAGTCATTGTGCTTTTAACACACACACACACAAACACAAACACACACACACACACACACAAACACACACACACACCTAATTTTGGTAGAGCTGTAGACCTGGTTACAATTCCCAGCTATTCTCATCATTATCTTTATGTAGTTATACATCCTTACATGCCCCAATTTGTGACTCTGTCTTTTTATCACAATATTTTCCCATTTCTGCTTTTGTGGACCAGCAGGGGGGAGGGGGAGAGAGCGTCCAGCAAGCAGGTGCATGCTGCTCTGTTTGTGCGAATGGAGTGCACGTACATACACTTTCCTGCTGCTTATATATGGCGTTGTGTCCATGCAAATGCACATGGACTTGCCTACCCACTCCTTCTGAAGTTTGAATCCGAATGGCTTATGGCCCAGTAGTGGGCTGTGGCCTGGGGGTTGGGGACCCCAGTTCTATGTAATACCTGCTTGGTACTAAAAAAATGTCTACCTTCAGTTATATTTTCTCAAAGATTAAACAACATACTCAGTACCCTCAATCCCTCTTTACAAGGATTAGTTTCTAATCCCCTAATCTTCCTTTCTGATGTTCACAATTAGATGCAACACTGAAGTAAACTTAGTGAAATTGTTACTTCATGTGATTGTGAACGTAGACTTTGAGAACATTGCATTTACCTAATACCACACATTGCTTTTTGCTACATGGACAAACTTTTATTACATGGACAAACTTTTATTAAAAGCTCTAACAGCTTTTCCAGTCACTAATTTTCCCCATCTCCTTGCCATCTAAGCAGCTCAAACAACAGCCATAAAAACCTTCATGTCAGAAAAAATCAGTCAAGGCCAGCTGGAAACTGTTTTAAATTAATTTCCAAAAAAACTTACCTGTGCCATTGGTCAACCACAGCTTTGGAAGGCAATCTCCATATTATCCTGGGTTTTGGCTCCCCTATAGCTGAGCAATTCAGAAGTAACCTATTCCCAAAATTCAGCTGAGTCCATCTTTGGGATGTAGCTGCAATTCGGGGTATTATATCTTGGTGTTCCACTTGAAGTAGTACTACTCTCCTTTCTGAACCTGTGGAGCTTGTTGCTATACATTCATATTTACCGCTGTCAGAAGGAACTATATTCCTGATAAGAAGTGTTCCATTAGGGAACAAAAAACCCTTATCATTTAGATAAGGGTGCAGTGGTTTCACCTCTGTTCCATCAGGGAAAACCCAGTGAACAGTTGGATGAGGGTCTCCTTTGACAGTGCAAGGAAACTTCAAACTTCCCCCCATGGTCTCTAGTATAAGTTGCTTCTTATTTTCCAGTATAATGGGTGGTGCAGCAATGACTTGCAACCTTATTGCCATAGTATCTGAGCCAAATGGATTATCTGCTCTGCAGGTATATATCCCTCGGTCATAAACATTGACTTTCTTGATCAGTAAAGTGCCATCTGAGTGTAGAGAAACAGCCTCATTTTCCACTGAAAATTCAGAGATTTGAGTTTTGTTTGCAAGGATCCAAGTTATAGAAGGAATGGGACGGCCTTCAGAGGCACACTTCATAACTGCTGGCTTGCCAGAGTGAACAGTAATGATCTTGGAACTTTTTCCTAGAATTCTTGGTGGATAGGTAACCACAGACAAAGTGACCAGAAGCTTGTCTGAACCTTGTTGATTGGCAGCCACACACAAGTATTGTCCACGATCCTGGATGTTTGTATTCTGAATGGAGAGTGTACCATTGGGAAGAATCTTAAATCTGTTACCATATTTGTTTTTTGATGCATCAGCTCCTGTTTAACCAAAAAGAAACTAATGTTAGATTTATTAAAATGTTGCCCATTGCACGGCTTGTTAGAGTATTAATTTGCAAACAAGAAAATAAGATTCTGAATTTCTTCATAAAATTCCCTTTGGATTATTTTGTCAATTTAGCTTTTTTCCCTTAGAACAACTATAGGCAGCAAATTAAATATCTCAATTAATTTCATATACATATACTGATTATTAGGTTTAGCTATGCTTCTTATACCCATTAATCAGGCATGTATTTACTTTACATTCAGAGTACATATACATATACATATACATATACATACACATACACATACACACACACACACACACACACACACACACACACACATATATATATATAATTTTGGAAATGTTTTTTTTTAGTCTAGCATCACATAACTGCATTCATATATTAATCCAAGAATCTTGATCTAACCAGTATCAACAATAATGTGATGTTTACTTTCTCTTGTTAATACAATGGATAAAAAGAAATACTTGCAACAGCTTCACATAAACATCCAATAATGGTTTATTGTAAAACAGCAAAATTTAGCTTTAAGATTATTTATGGTTATGATTTATTTGAATTATTTGATTATTATTCCAGGCTTTTGATATAATGTGATGCTATCCCTCCTTACATTATTTACCCATTTTGATCAAGAAATGGAAAAACAATGAACTGTGTATACTAGCATAAGGCCTGTTTACATTAAGGTTTATAGGACAAGATTCCTGGCTTAAAGTGCTTTCTTTTATAGTTTATTTGGAAAAATTCTTATTGGCTCCATATCTACATTATTTATACATGCATGTTTTCATCTAGTTCAGGAAAAAGCAGAAATATTTCCTCATGAGATGAATTATATTATTCTGGACCAGACAAACATATTACAGTTTAATGCTTTTTATGCAAAGCTGGTTCTTTAGGTTTTTGCACAATATGCCGGTGGAGTGTGATAATTAAGGCACTGGCAAGAAAGCGGGAGACTGAGTTTCCCCTGTTAGGTGCAAAACCAGCAGCATGGTCTTAGGCCAGTCATCTCTTTCAGCTGAAGGATGCAATGGCGAGCCACTTCCAATAAAGTTTGCCAAGAAAACTTCAGGGACTCATTGGACAGTTGCCAGAGTCAACCCTACCTTAAAACTACACCTTACTGCACTAAGAACAGGGGTGGGATTCTATTGGTTTGGACCAGTTCGAGCGAACTGGTAGCTCTGACTATCAGCTGGGAGCGAACCAGTTCGCTCTGAATTTCACCCGCTCCTGTGCTATACTCACCTATATTCCCTTTTCTAAAGCCCACCTCTGACTGGCCTTGCCTCCATCTATTCTCTGCCTCCCGAGTCCCAGCTGATTGGGAGGAAATGGGGATTTTGCAATCCAAAGTGGATTGCTGCACCTCAGCTGTTTTCCTCCCCAGCAGTAATGTGGAAGGTGATTTCTCTGTAAACTGTGCACGCGGGCACAGAGCATGTCTGGCATTTCAGACACATGTGTGAGCGAAGCAAACTGGTTGTTGAACCAGTAAAATCCACCCCTGATAAAGTGTATATTTCATATACTATTCTCTTAAAATACTCTAGTTTAAGTAAGATCCTGGTTAAAAATGTTTTTAAGTATAGCTGTTCAACCTAATAGTGCAGAATTACCTCAGAATCATTCTGAACATTCTGAGTATGGTTTTGGAGCAACAATACAGTATCACACCATTACTTTCCATGCTTAGAGAAAATTTAGCTAAAATCTGGATTGTTATTATTGTTTGTTTTCTTTATATACATTTATTTTTCTGGCACATGTAATTCTTTTCCATTTTATGAAAGTTAGATTTGAGACAGGCCCAAAGTCATTGTTAGAGTATTAATCTAACACTGTATCACGTTGTGGTTATTCTTTCATCATTTAATTCTAGGACTGTGAACATGCATAAGAAATTAATTTTCCATGCTTCACTTCAGTCACATCTTCAGAGGTGGTATTCAGCAGGTTCTGGAGAACTGGCAGCAGAAAATTTGAGTAGTTCAGAGAACTGGTAAATACCACCTCTGACTTCCCCTGTCCCCATCTGCTTCCCGAGTCCCAGCTGATCAGGAGGGAATGGGGATTTTGCAGTAACCTTCCTCTGGAGTGAGGAGGGAATGGAGATTTTAAAGTATCCTTCCCCTGCCATGCCCACCAAGCCATACTCATAGAACCAGTAGTAAAAAATGTTGAATCCCACCACTGTACATCTTGTTTATGAGAAAAGAGAACACATGTACAATATTAATTTGAAAAGCTTACCTGCTGGTAACTTGGTCCAATGGATGGTTGGTTGAGGATTACCACTGGCTTCACATGGAATGAAAGCATCTGAATTAGCCAGGACAGTAAACACTGCAAATTTTCCTCCACTTATTCTGGGTTTTGCCAATCTGGTTTGATAGAATGAATTTAAACCTTCTGGATTGGTGGTGGAGGCTACATGGCCTGTTCTTTCAGACCAGTTTCTGATGTAATTGTTTTTATCTGTCTTCCACAAAGGAGTATACAGGGTGGAGCTTTGAGGTGATTTTAATACAGTGAATGTGTTAATTATGAGAGGTTTTCCAATATCTCTGATTTTAGAAAATGGAAACTGCCGTGAAATTTTACCCCATCTGGGAGACGAAGTAGTTTGTGTAGCTTGGATAAGCCTTGTTTGGGATAGTAATGGACTAGTGGTCATGTAAATTGCATTAGTAGGAATGTGTGGATTTATCTCATTTTTTACATGAAGAGCTGTTTTTGTTATTTGTGTTTTTGGAGCTGCAGTTTGTCCCACATATGGGTAAGCTTCCTTATTCACTTGTCTAGTAGTTTGTGCTACTTTAGTAAACTTTGGTCCAGTTGTTACCAAGGATATGTATGATAATGCTGTGCTTATCTTTGTTGTATCCCATGACATTTCAACCTGTGGAGCTGTAGATGAAAGTTTTTCAGTTGACAGTTCCATTGGTGGCTTAATGGTATAAGCATTGTCCAGGGATTCCTGAGTGGTATTTAAGAATGTATTGTCTTTTTTTATATCTGCTGTGCTAAGAATTGCTGGTTGTGGTGTAACTGCATCTATATCCATAGTGGTGAATTTTGGAAACAATTCAGTCAGTATGCGACTAGGAGGTTCAGTTACATTTTTTATTGTTTTCATAATAGGAGAAGGAATAATTTTTTTAAAGGGTATTACAAATTCTTTGATCGAAATGTTTCTATGGAAAGGCATTGACTTTTGCAGAGGTCTTCTCCTCCTTTGACCCTTCTTTCTTTGTCTTCGAAATGTTTTGAGTTTGAAAATCTTGTTTGCAGAAGTGGTAGCAGGATTATGAATCAGTTGGACTGTTGTAGTATCAGTTTCTTTATTAAGATCAGTTGTAAGGTTGTACATAAGCCCTGGGGATTGTGATTCTGTAGTACTGAGTGATACTATTGAATTGTCTTTTAGTAATGATATATTCTCACTGATATGTGTGATATGATATGAGTCTATAGGAACATCGGTTTGATTGTCACTTTTGGAAACATCAGTTTCATATATTGGTGAATTTTTGAATGTTGGGCCTGAGGTGTGAAAATCTATAACAGGTATTTCAGATGTGGGTTTTGTTTGTATTATCAATTGCTTCTGCAGTAGCTCTTTTTGGACATAGCTGGTAACAAAAGCATTAGGTGATGGTATTTCTCCATTTGAAACACTGGAAGAGACATCATGGGTACTAAAAGAGGGAATAGTGGATTTGATCATGAAAGGTAATATATTAGCTCCGGTAAATGTACTTTTTCTGTTAAACTTAGATTTATGGATATCAGTTGTGAATTGGATGTTATCTGATGCATCTATATCAGGGATTGCTTGATGTATATCTGATTTTACTTTTCTTTGTGGAGCAATCTGGGTGCTTTTAGAGAAGAAGGGGAGAGTTGTAGAAGCTTCATACACTTCATCTGTATCTATCTTGTTACTTGAGGATATCACAGTGTGACTTGAAATTGTTGATTTTGGATACTGAGGTTTGATCGATGCATACATAAATGTTTGTGGGCTAAATGATTCAACAGATATATTAGAAGGAGTTGGTATGCTTATTTCTGCAGGGAGAGTAAGACTTGAGCTTTCTGGAACAAACCCTGATCTAGGAAAAGCAAATCTATGCCCTGCATTACTGGGAATACGGTCAGGTCTAATAATTCGTCTTCTTCCAAAGGTTTTTCTTCGTCTGCTGTACCATCTGGGGAATGGACTATGAGTTGCAGAATCCTTAGCTACCTCAATCTGTTGCTGGGTAAGAATAGTTGAGCCTGGAGATACCTGAAATGTAATTTTTTTTCTACTGTAAGTATATCCATGTTGCGATGCATCATTAGACAGACTGATTGCTGTTGAGGGCACTTGATGGTTTGATTTTTTTGACACTTCCTTAGCATTTTCTGCCAATAAATCAGGTTTTTCAACAATTTTGTGTGAAATTATAAATTGGCTATTATTAGTAATAGCCACTGTTGGTGTTACTGTTGGCTTGCTTTTAAAATAGACATTAGCTTCTTCAGATGTTACCAATGTCTGAAAAGAATTTGAAGTGTTTGCTGCACTGTTGGGTTCTTTAAAGAATGAGGGCATTGTTACTTCCATCAGGGTTGGTGGCGTAGGCAGTGTTTGGTATCTTTCAAGGCTTATTCCTTTTATTTCAGGTTTTGGCTTATTTAGCCAATTCTGGTTCGTAGGTGTCTCAGACCGCATAACCATAGAACTGGTTGCTGAAGGTTCTGATTCTGTAACTGTGGTATGTGTTGCAAAAGAGCTGTAATTATCTGATATACTTCCAAATTTTGCTGTCACTACATTTCCTGATGCTTCTCTCAAGGTGTATTTTGAAGGTCTTCTAGTTGCTAGAAATATAAGTTCTTCCTCGGCTAATATATCATCTCCAGATATCTCTTCTTCATTTCCTGAGCTCTTTGAAGACAGAAATATCTTTTCGGTTGGTTTTACTGTTATATTTTCTTGTCTTCTTAACAATGTGATATTCCTTGTTTTTTCTAAAAATGTCGCCCAATGCAATGGATTGATTCTCTTGGTAGAGAGACCAAATCTCTTTTGTCCTCTAAACCTTCTGCTTATCTTGCCTCTATTGATCCTGTATACTTCTTTGTAGTTGTTTTTGGTTTTATTTTGTATGTAATAATTTGTAAATGAATTTTGCATGGATGTTTGGCTGGTTACCTCAGCAGGAACCGAAGGAAATTTTTTAATTTGACCATTAAAGTCATGTTCTTGGTTGCCAGACCCTTCTGTTGCTTCACTATTTAGCTGAGTATCTTTTTTTATAAGGTGTTGTGACTTGCTCAAATTACTTTTAACAAGTAATTCGTAAACCAAATAATCTACACCATATTTATTGGCCATTATACACATGAAGTGGCCATTGTCTTGTCCTGTTATTGGTTGTATTTTTAATGTGCCATTGTCAAACAGAAGTTTATTTTTAAAAGAACTATGAAGAATCATGTTTCCTGGTATGACCCAATTAATAGAGGCACTTGGGCCATCTGTAGAGAGGCAGGGAAGATCAATACTTTCACCTAAAAACACTGAAAGCTGTTGTGCATTTAAAAGTTTGTGCTTAAGACTTGGATCTATCACTGTAATTCTAAAAGTTAAGACATCAGCATCTTCATAGTTGGTTCCTATACAGTGATAAAGTCCAGTGTCAAAATGATCTGCTGAATGTAGTGAGAGCTTACCAGATTTTTCTATCACTATTCTTCCATCTTCACTTACATATGGAGCCTTAACCTTGGTCCCATCAGGTAATAGCCACTCAGTTACAGGGACAGGGTCTCCAATTGCTTGGCAATCCAATTCTACAGAACTATTGACTAAAACAGAATATTCAGTTTTGGAATTCTTGTCTCGTAAGATCATGGCCCACGTTTGTTTGGTGGGCTTTGGGACATCATCAGGAAGAATGATTTGAGCATCTATTGAATATTGGATATGCAGCATATTGAGTGTAGTTGTGGTCCTGTCCAATTGCATTGACACTTGACTCTGCATCAACCAAGGAGGCTCAGCTGTCAGTTCAGCTTCTATGTCGGTGAAAAGGTCTTCATTTTTAGAATCTATTTGTTTGTACTTGTAACGAATATAAGGCATTTCTGTTAATAAGTGTTCCTGTCTCAATTTTAGTGGAGAATCACTATAAAGAGCAAGTATACTCCACAGTTGATGAATACGACTGTGGTCAATGCTACACTTAAGAAAAGTTGACAATGATATTTCAAGTAGCGTGTTATTATCTGTTTTTGTAAATATAACTGGAGACATTTTTGAAGGTTTCTGTACATTACAAACTATGTTTGCTTGATTTCCTGATTGGTCTATTAAGTTTAATGACACAGATCCTATAGGGGCCATAAAATCTTTGGGAGACACTGAAGTGAATTCTCCATCATCTACCATAGTTTCAGTTTTCAATTTTAAATCTGTGTCTATACTTGGTTTACTACAATTAAATGAAGGTAGTGGAATTTCAGTTAAGTGTTTTTCTTTAGAATTCCTGGGGTTGGTGCACAATGGACATTGCAGTGCATCTGTAGCCTCTTTGCCTTTTTTGCATTTTACAACATCTGGAAAGAAAGAGATCAGAAAAAGTAAATTGATGTTCTATTGTAGAACAAAACAGTTTCTAATCAGTTGAAAGATATTTCTGGTACCAGTGAGGCAAGCATTTAGTAGCCAATACAAAACATAATTGGAAGGAGCAAAGTAGGCCCTTAAATCCAAACTTCTTATGAGAAATTAAAACTGCAAGTTGTGTGATAACATTTTTTGTTCTCAAATTGTTTCTTTTAAACACATTTCTATTTGCCACTTCAGCCTCCCCAAATTGATTGACAAACTTTGTCCCTGCCCCTTTTGTTGTCACCACATTCTCCAATGTTTTCTGTCATCACCATCACCACCATCTCTGGAAAGTTAAGAGACTGAATTGCGACTCAAACATTGCCCTGTTCTGCTTTACATGCAAACTATAGCTCAGTCAAGTGCATTTTCTCCTTTCCCCCCTGAGTGAAGAACCGTCTACGTGGCTCAGATAAATATCATTATAGTATTTTAAATTCAGTTTCATCTCATGTTGATTTATAGGGTAATAGATTTCTCACTTGGTTTTGTGTTAACTAATAAAAAATTGTCTACTTCATTACTCAAGTCATTAATAAAAATTTTGAAGAAAATGCGGTGACATCCCATCAGATGCTCCATCTAGTTGTGCAAGCAGGCTTCAACAATCTTATTTTTGCTGAATACTTGATGTTCTCTATGCTTGGTTATTTGTTAGCAGATATTTCATTACTTGACTATGTAACAACACCAGTGCAGGTGATTGTGGAGGTTTTTTCCTGCTTATATACAATAGGCTGCTCTGCCACTGTTGGTGGCAGTGTAGTTTTTTCCTTGTTAGTTTCTTGAATAGGCTATTGTTTTCTGGTTGATTGTCTGATGTTAATTCCTGCAAATTTGGATGTTGTCCTACTAGAAAGGGTGTGTTTTGATCTTTTAGTTTCCTTCTTCTTTTTGCTTCTTTTGAATGATGTATAAAAATAGTTTATCTGTATGTGTCTATTGATGGTTGGTTTGTCTTAATCACAAACTTCCAGGAATTCCCAAGTGGTTTGGTATTTAGCCCATCTGCAAGCAAACAATACCCTAATCAATGAACTACCAAAGAAAAAACCGCACTACACTAACCATGGCATAGAAAGCATAGTTCTATGGCTGTTGAGCAAAGCTCATTAATACTGATATTACCTAACTGGGTATCGAAAGATCCCTAAGCCAACAGCCAAGCTCAGAGAGCACCAAGGACTCCATAGTTCAACCATGAATTATATATATTCTCTTCCATTTGGATATTTTTTAAAAGTATAATATATTCTCTCCGCATCCTGTCAATTAGTGCAATTTTTGTGAGTGAGACCAGCAGACATTGGAGGTGTATTGTTGCAATTTATACAAAAGACAATATGTACCTGAATGCCTTTCTGCCCATTTGGCAAACCATTTCAAAGCACAATCACAAGTCCAAGGATTTCCATGAAGATAGAGACTTTCTAGTTCAGACATATATGAGAAAATGTCTTGTGGCAGAGAAGTCAGGAAGTTGTCTGACAAGTAGATATGCTTTATGGCAGATGTTCTGAACACCTTGAGGTACCTCAAAGTGACAAAAGTATCTGGATGAAGTTGTTTAAGTAAATTTTCTTCCAAATGGACTAACTTCAATGATGTGAGACCATAGAAAGATTTTGGGTTTACAAATTCAATTTTATTATGATCCAGGTGCAAACGTACCAAAGCCACGAGACCATGAAATGTGTCTGCTTGAATAACTTTGATTTGATTATAGCTCATCTTTAAGATCTGTTGATAAAAAATTGAATAAGAAAAGAAATCTAAGCTGAAGTTACACGTAATTCAAAAACTTCTAAAAAGTGATTTTCAGAATGACACAATAGAATATGATCTCAAGTCACACATTATGCTAAATGATGTTGTTTCATTGATTTTGACTTAGTATGTTGTATATCCCAACAGTGTGGTTATTCAATAAATTGTGGCTAAACCATATTTAAACCTATGAATGAACTTGTAATTATGCTCAGTGAATCTTATTTTTTATCAAAGATGTTTAGGATTTATTCAATGAGAAGAATGGTGAAAATGAAAGGTGAATAGAGTGTAATAAACTTAGATCTTACACTCCTCATAACTATTCTCCCCCTCCCCCACCCAACAACAGGTTTGAGGGCAAAACTTTGCCAACTCTAAACAAAATCAGTGATGGACAATTTCCAGCTTAATCTTACCTTTAACAAATGTAAATCAGAGAATGTCTTGTCTTGAATTGTATGTATCTGATTACTGTGCAACATCAACAATTCCAGTTTGTCCAGGCCAGAAAAATCTGTCTCAGTCAGCTTAACCAAATTGTTGTAACTGTAACAAATATTTCATTCCATATCTGGGTTTAGTTAGTCAGCTATAGTTTAAACATTAAACAAACAAAAATAGAATCTCTGTTCTGAAGGTGTTTAAGCAGACTGTAATTAGATTTTGTCATTTTAAATTGAAATTACTTTGATCAAAGCAATAACATATGAAAAATATGGCTCTTGTTATCATGCACTTGGGTATGACCTAATCAGTGTTACATCTATACATTTTTCTGTTGTTCCTCTCAAAGTGTTCTGATAATAAAAACAATGAAACACTGTTTCATATAATACATTTATAAAATTACACTACAAAACAAAAAAATACCATCAAACCACCATGAACACAACACATATAAATGGAAGAATTAGAAAAAGGCTTAGAACCTAATTTCTTAAACACTGTTTAATACAAGAATCCTCGACTTACAACAGTTCGTTTAATAACTGTTTGAAGTTACAACAGCACTGAAAAAAAATGGATTTATGACCGTTTTTCACCCAACTGTTGTGACATTCCCATGGTCACATGATCAAAATCCAGGAGCTTAGCAACTGGTTCATATTTATGACAGTGACAGTGCCCCAGAGTCATGAGGTCCCATTTTGCAACCTGACATAGAGCAGCATAATAGTGAGGGTTTAACAGGCTGAAATTGATTAATAGCAGCAAAACACGAAGTAAACTAATACATTTTATTATACTATAATATAAATAAAATAAATGATTAAAATGTATTTTACAAGATAATAAGTAAAAATACAGGAAGGCATGCTAAAAACAAGCAACATATTTCAAACAGAAGGGATTTAAAGATGAAAAATCAATTTACCAGACATAACATGCTGTGTAAAAAGCACAAATTTTGTCCACTGGAGAATTGGATGGGAGTTCCAGAATAGAGGAACAATTTCCTAGCACATTTTCTCTATCCCACTATGGGAATGATAAAAGGCTTTCCCAGTTTCAATTCTAGGTAATTACAGTTATTGGGAACCATGAATCATATCAATTTAATAAATAATAATGATTTGGTGTTTGTTGCAGGGTGCAGCTGTCATCTTGTTCCTATGGTTTCTTGTTTATGGGAATACTTGCATACGAACAGATTACGTGAACAGACTTGAAGAAGATTCTTATAGGCAACAAGAAATCACACGCTCTGTAATCTAATGAATTCCCCACCTCCCGAGTACTGGATATACTGTCTGTTCCAAAAATCCCTTTTATGGATTATGAGGTATAACACATGGGAGAATTATTCAGTGCATTCTGTGCACTATATACAGATTCAGAGTTATGTTTCTACTGTATATTATTTATGAAATGAAAAGATGAGGAATAAATCTATTCCTTTCCTGACCTATGCATCTTAGGAAATAAAGGGGAATTACTCGATACACACTAAACACCAAAGGCATTCATGAACAGTGATCATCTTTCTTGCTGTTGCTTCATGTTTGTAAACTCCAGCCGGCCTCTGAAAGCTTAAATACTTCTTCACTGCCAAAGTTTCAGAGAAACTGCTGAATTATAAGTGACCACTAAAATATAGCTGGTTATCAAAGCAGCCTCAAATTATGGTTCACTGACAAAGATGGTTCTGTGAGCTGATTTGCATATGTAAGTTTTAAACAGATGCTATAACTGCTTTGATCTGAAACTGTTAACTATATAACAGTTGCTGGGGGAGATGTGGGATTTAGATTTCCCTTGGTCAACATTTTAAAAATGTTATATACAAAATTTTTAAAATGTTTTATACAAAATAGAAGCGTATTGCACACTAAATTTGAGTCTATATTCTATACAAGTGATGGCTAACTTTTTTGTCCTCAATTGCTGAAAATGCGCATCTGTGTGTGACCGCGTGTGTGCGTACCCACACCCATAATGCAATGCACCCCTCCCCCTTCTCATGCACGTTTGACCCCTGCACATGCACGTATGATCCCCCATGCTCCCACGCCTCCCACGCATGTGTGTGACCCCCCCTTGCACATCCTTTTTTGGGCTTAGCAGATCTCCCTGAAGCCACCTGGGACCAAAAACAGGCACATCCCCCACAGCCCATTTTGGCAGGCCACCCTGAAACCCGCTAAAACCAAAAATGGGATGTGGCGGGGCTCTCCCCTGCCCTCCATGCACATTATCCCCTGCGCATGCACATGTCTCTCCCGACAGAGACCTGAAAGTCAGCTGGCTGACTGGAGGTGTGCACACATGCACGATGGAGCTAGGCTGGGTGACGGCTCACATGCCAAGAGAGAGGGCTCCACATGCCATTTGTGATACGCGTGCCATAGGATCATCATCACGGTTCTATAGGATCTACTAAAAATAATCCATCATCCCACCTCCTTCCTTCCTTCCTTCCTTCCTTCCTTCCTTCCTTCCTTCCTTCCTTCCTTCCTTCCTTCCTTCCTTCCTTCTTTCATCCCCTCCATTTTATGAGATGGCTCCAACTATAATTTGAATAGCCACATTCAATATAGCTAGGACAACATAAACATCATGACAACTATAGTTCCCAGAATCCATCGCTGATATGGATGTGTACAAGTATTCTGATTTTGTCTTCTTTTTCAAATGCAAAATGAATGGTTCTGCTCATGGCTTAGAATGTATACTTCTTCCAAGAAAATATGATTTATCTTAACTGGCTGCATGTCACATTTGGCTTTTAATTATACTGTTTCACTATTTAAATCCTTATTGGACTTACATGTGAATGATTGAGTTCAAACTTCATAAATCATAATCAGGAATAAAAACTAAACCTGGGGTCAGGAATAGCAATAGCAGCAATTTTATCCACCTTGGAAGGATGGAAGGCTGAGTCAACCTTGAGCCGGTGAGATTTGAACTGCAGAACTGCAGCTTGCAGTCAGATGAAGTAGCCTGCAGTACTACACTCTAACCATTGCGCCACCTTGGCACCACAGGAAGCTGTGGCTTTCAAGACATATGTAGCTAACCTAGATCTGACAACTCCATTCTACTTAAATTATGCTACCTGGAGTTGCTAGAATTGTGGTTCATAATATTTAGACAGTTTCTCATCTACCCCAGATAATTTTAATCTGGTTTGTTTCCTAAATTCTCCCAAACAAGTCAAAAATTAGAGTAAAAACAAACCAGCAAACAAGATAAATTTATTTTAATGTCACATGGAACAGCACAAGGTTTATTCTTTATTATATTTGGGACATTGTTAAGTTTAATTACTGAAAATTTATTTACACAAATAAAACATTATTTAAAGCATTTTGCAAACTTAAAATTTTGCGCACTTTTAATCTAAACTGATACAATAGTTATTTCAATAGTTAAAAGCAAAACAAAAATGATTCCTTCTGCCTGTTCACCCGCCTCTTCATTGCTGACCAACCACAGAATCCTTCTCTCTTATTCGACAGTTAGAAGGTAACTGTTTCTGAAGATATCTTATATTTTTCTCTGCAACAACTACAAAAAGTAGTGGAATGTACCATACACCTATGCATTCTCTGGTGTAATGACACATAAACTTTATTATGTTTTTAAATAGAAAATGAAATCAAATTCCAGAGAAAAACTGCAGACTACAGGAGTCAAGAGCACTAATCAGGTGACTCTGAGAACACACATAAGCCTCCAAGTGCTTCAAGAACCCTCTAAAAGGATGCAAATGACCAGCTGTCTGCAAAGAATATAAATCCTTCCATTCCCCACTATCCTGTCAGAGCTGAAGAAGCTTCTTGGATGAGAAGTGAAACATCTTCAAAGATGTTTCACTTCAAAGAAAAAACAAGAAAGTCCAGTTGCCTCCTAAAAAAGCACTTTTGGGACAACCATGACTTGGATGACTGAGAATTTCTACAGATTTACTGTAAAACAAATTCTGGTTGAATCAATTTATGATAGATGCTGACAACACATCAAGGATGCCATCATCTTTGATGTATACCAGGCACTCTTACCCACCTGCCTTTATTATTTTTCCTTTTTTAAATTAAAAAAATAAACCCTATCACAATCAGCTCCCAGTCTTGTGTATCCTCTCTATTTCCAATAATGACTCTGGAACTCACATTGTGCTTCAGTCATTCAATCATTTCCAATTCTTCCTGATCCAATGCACATTCATTTACCAGGATTGCCTATCTGTAACCCTTTTGATTTCTTGTAAACTTGTGCTTGTCATGATACCGTAGTCACCTTATTTTCTCATTCTATTTTCATTCGTTTTTATTTTCCTAAGCCTCATGGGCTTCTCTGGTGACTCTTACCTTTGTTTTATGTGTACAAAATAGCTAAGGTTCAGATACATTATTAATGCTTTCAGTGAGCATCACATCTGTCTGGTTTTACTCCAGAGAGAAATGGAGGTTTAATCCTTTTGCAGTCCAAAGAATTTCCAGCAATTTTCTCCAGCACCAAAGTTCAAAGGCATTTGTTATTAATTTATTCAGTCTTTCTGATGATCCAATGATCACTGCCAAATTTTACAACTGAGATAACCACATCTTTGGCAACATGTACGTTTATTTTATGTTGTCACAGAGTGATGTCCTTGCACCTGGATATGTTATTTAGATTGGCTGTGATGTTTCTCTCCAGAAGCATATTATTTCAATGCAACAGCACCATGCTGTTACTGATCCTATGAAGATAACGTATGTTACTACTGCAACTTCTTCTTCATCTGTTTATATCAGAGTGGCATAGTAATAGCACTTAGACTTATGTACCGTTTCATAGTGCTCTTACAGCCAGAGTCATCATATTGTCCCCAACAATCTGGGTCCTCATTTTATCCGCCTCGGAAGGATGGAAGGCTGAGTCAACCTTGAGCCTGGTGAGATTCAAACTGCGGAACTGCATTTAGCAGTCAGCTGAAGTAGCCTGCAGTACTGCCCTCTAATCACTGTGCCACCTCGGTTCTTCTACCTATTGATATCATTTTAGGTTTCCTAAATTATTGACCAGGACTTCACTTTTTGCATTTTCTTTTTTTATCATCAAGAAGACATTCCTTAGGCTTCCCTCATTTCCAGAATTAAACCGGTATTACCAGCATATCTAAAGCTGTTGGTGTTTCTCTAAGCAAATTTCATTCCAATTTGTAGTTCATCTAGCTCAACTTTTTCATGCTATAGTCTTCATGAAAGTTAAGTACTGTAAATAAGATGACAGTATACAACCTTGGAACATTCCTTGCCCAATTCTGAACCATTTAGTTGGTCATATTCTGTTCTGTTGCTTCTTGATCAATAGGTGAATGGTTCAATAAATAGATGAGATGACACTAGCACACTCATATCTTTAAGAGCCAGCTACAATTTGTGGATAGCATTGTGAAAAGCATTCATATAATTAATAGAAGGAGGAAAAAACTTTTGGAAGGTCCTTGCCTTTTCCATTGTGCACCAGATGTTTGAAATCTTGGGAGCCTCTGTATCTTCTAAGTTTATATACTTGATTTATTTACTTGACAGTTTTGATTCCATGTACTGTTGTAATCTGGATTGCAAAATTTCAAGCACTATTTTACCAGCATCTGAATTAAGAAAGCCAAATGCCCCACATATCGGATCCATTAAAGGAATGACTATATTTTTGCACCATGCTTGGAACTATATCCACTCACCCAGAAACAAGACAAAGAAAAACTGGATTGATGTACATTATTGAGCAGGAGAAGGAGGAAATCAACAAACTTAGATTTTTTTCTGCTGTTTAGTGACTGTCACACAGATTATGGTAATAATTTTGTGAATAGCCAGCAATCATCATTTCTACTTGTCTAAAAATCCTTAGCCATAAAGGCATACAAAAGAATTTGGATGCATGCGTTTTAATTTATCACTATAGGCAAATTAATCAATAGCTGAAATCTTCTAGATGAATGCCAGGAGGCTTCTTGCCATTAGTTGCTCTGAAAAGATTTTATAACAGTGAACATGTTAGTTGTTCTCATTACTATTTCTTATTGTCATGCAGTCATAATTTTCCTGACCTTTTTGTTCCTATCAATTTCACTAAAAGAGATGAACAAGATGTTGTCTCCAATTTTTCCAAAAGAAAGAAAACTGATGAAATTCCAAAAGAAGAGAGTTTGGTGCCCCTCCACTGTTCAATATCCAAAGTAGTGCATACCATAAAGAAAGATCTGGCTGTTTACATTTGACAATTTATAATAAGGATGAAACCAGTTACATACTGCCTCTTAGTGTGTGACACTATGAATATAATAACTGCTTTCTTTTAAAACAATTGTGACTTCTTGCATAACAAGACTTTTCAGTTACCACATTTTCCCATAAAAAGCTACTTTCGTGGTTTCTAATAGTGCTTGTTTATCCCGCAAGTTTCAAAACCATGCTCTTGTAAGGTAATTGGAAGCATTGTGTAACATTGTTATTTAGTTAAGAGGATCCAGTATCTCTCTAGTAATCTGAGCTTCTTTCAATTAAAGTAAGCAACTACTCTAGAAGGTATAAAACACTGAGTAGGAGTAAGAATGATGGATAATAGAAAAGAAAATAGCAATAGCAGTTAGACTTATATACTGCTCCAGCATTCTCTGAGTGATTTACAAATGTCAGCACATTTTCCCCAACAATCTGAGTCCTCATTTTGCCGACTTTGGAAGATTGGAAGGCTGAATCAACCTTGAGATGGTCAAGTTCCAGTTAGCCTGCAGTATTACCTTCTAATCATTGTGACACCATGGCTCCTAACATACAGCACCCTCAAAGTGTAACAAGTAAATTCAAAAATATTAAGAGAGATAGTTTGGTCTAATAGTTAAAGCATCAGACTAGAAAGTGGGGGAGTGTAAGTTCAAGTCCCATCTCAACCATGAAAGCCAGCTGGGTGACCTTCAGCCAGACATTCAATGGTGTGATCCTACCGATTTAACAACCGGTTTGCTGCGCGCGTGCACAGTTTACAGAATACTTACCTTCCAGATTTCTGCTTGGGAATGAAAACAGCTGAGGCGTGGCAATCCACTCTGCCACGTGACTCAGCTGCGAAGATAAAGGTAGGTAAAGTGCAGGGGCAGGTGGACGGGCCCACTTGCAAGTGGGAGTGAACTGGTTCTCTCTCAATTGAACTTCAAAGCTACAGGTTCTCCCAAACAGATCAAACTGGTAGAATCCCACCCCTGCAGACCAGTGGTGGGTTCTGGATCCTGTTGCAACTGGTATGGTGCAATAGGCCCGGCATCCCCCACATGCACACATGCAGCATGTGCGCACATGTGTGCATGCATCCTTATCTCCGCGACACCTCTGCGATGTTCCAGCTGCTCGGTGGAGCATCGTGCAGGCTCTGTACACTCCATGCATGTGTGCGGAAGTGCCAAAGAGCTCAAATACAGGTAAGGAGCTCAGTTGGGGGCCTCCGGAGCACCGTAGCGGAATGGTACCCGTTGCTCCCAGCAGGCACCGCTACACCTGTACTGGAGCGTACAGTCTGCAACCTACCACTGCTGCAGACACTCTTTGTCAGCCACCTAGCTCATAGGTTGTTTTTGTCGGGAAAATAGGAGGAGGAATTTGTTTGGGATAGATTCACCATGCCAAGTTATTTGTAAAAATAATAAAGGCGGGATAGATACAAATAAATAAATAAGGTTTGAAATAATTTCTTAAGCATCCTGAAAAAAACGTAGAAAAAGGGAAGCCACTTTCATAGGAGAAGGGAAGTTCTGAGAAGCTGCAAAACAAATTTTAGCACAGCATTACTAATTTCAGGATTTCAGCATTATCATGCAAACCTACCCTAAATTGATGCGTTCAACATTTTGAGAGATGTGCAGTGGGATGGTAGTTAGATACCGGAAGGTGCAGTGGACTTCAGTCGGGACATAGCAGGCACAAAGCTTAGGACAGGCACTGGTGCCAGGAAAGACAGCCAAGAGGAACCCAAAGAGGACTTCTACTGCATAGGGATGGTTTCCTCTTTCTCTTTTCATCTTGTGTGACAAAAGTTTTAAAATGACCATCCTTCCAGCCAAGTGAGAACAAAGAATACTCTAGAAAATAACACAACAGAGAGCATCAGATTAAGATGCCACATCAAAAGCTTGTGGCTTTGAGCAGGCTAGTTTTACTTACGTTTTTCTAAGCAGTTCTACAGAAAATCTACACATTTAATCTGCAGCCATTGGATGTTTTGGAGACCAGAGATTTGCGCGCTATTCTTTTACAATTATACCAACATTCTAATCCTACATCATTCCATGCTCAAATAACGGTCCAACATCCCTAAAGAATGGTGGATTGGAGAAAGCTGCCATAAGGGTTACTTCTTCAAGGAAAAAAAACAATCAGCAGTTTAAATACCCATAAGCATTAGTCCTCAATTAATGATGGTAATTGGAACACAAATACCTTGCTAAGTGATATGGTTATAAAACATGTCACATGGCTACCATTGCTTAGTGATGGCAATTTCAGCAGTCCCTAGACAAGGACCCATCCCAATCCAAGCTTGGTCTCTCCTAGCCCTAAACCTCATAAAAGCTTCTTCTTCAACCCATTTGCCTATCTCTGCCGCTTTGGCCATCCTGTGCTTCACTTGCCCTTCTGCCCTTGCTCTGCTCTCCTTGCCACCCTGAACTCTTTATAAGGTCATACATAACTTAGACAAGGCTCCATGTGGCCTTGGGAAAAAGGACTGGCAATGGCCAGCAGCTGGCTCACCAAGCATCTGGCCAGGTGCACTTTGTGAAAAGTTTGAGAAAGAAGATGGTGAAGATGCTGGGAATTGCAAGTGGAGTAGAGGGCCAGGCAAGGGCAGAGCAGCAGCTTGGATGGAGCATAAGGAAGCTCCAGTGCAGACTGCAGAGTGGCCAAAAGGGGAAAAATGGGGAGGGAGATAGGTGGATGGGGAGAATTGAAGTGCCCTTGAAGCCAATAATAAGTGCAGGTGGGCTTCCGAGCACACAAACTTTGATCATGTGGCCAAGCAGGTGCTGTAATGATTATCTTTGGGGACCATGGATAAATACTATTTGTTCAGCTCTGCTGTAAGTTTAAATGGTTGCCGAATGAACGGTTATTAACCAAGGATCACTTGTATTTCCTCTTTCCTTTAAACATTCCTAACAAGGTTTTTGCTTTTAGTGAATGTAGCAGGGAATAGGAGAAGCGGTTGACAGGTGTTACAATCTGGAATTTGACATGCTACTGAAACTGGAATTTAAACATTCTGCTTGATAAACCACAGTTTTATTTTTAAAGCAGTCGTAAATCTGCTTGTGATTTGGTTTTTTGCTGACAAATACATCAATCTTTCCCTGCCAAGCAAATTAAGCCTCAAAGAATTAGGAGTTTAAGAAGACAACCGTCCTGGTGAAAAAAGCTAGAGAAGCGATAGTGAAAACGGTTAAAGATTTTCCTACTTTCCTCCACCTTTATAGGGAATGAAAGCTATGCCTCATCTTGTTACTGCGAACTTCTATTTCATTCTGGTTTGTCTTTTTTTATTTTATAATGCTACATGAATAGATTAGAATTAGTTTAATGGAAAATAAGAGTGCCATAAAGTTGCAGGTATTATCCTGCAAATCTCCATGTTCTGTTTGGATGAGTTATTCTCTTGATACAAATATTTTAAAAACTAGACCTTGCAATTCTATGACCTCAAAGAGCTTAATCAAATAGAAGAGGCAGATTAAGAAATCTTAGCTTTTTTTTAGCATTCATTTCTTCAGAATGTTTTCAAAAATGTTTGCTTTCTTGATTTCCCTTTTTCTACTGTCAATGGGATGTACTGTATTTATTTAAACAATAACTAAATTGCTTAAAAATGTAAATGCACCTTCTGTTCTAGGTACAATAAATTGCAAGGTGCAGAAATTGTGGTTCCTTCCTTCCTTCCTTCCTTCCTTCCTTCCTTCCTTCCTTCCTTCCTTCCTTCCTTCCTTCCTTCCTTCCTTCCTTCCTTCCTTCCTTCCTTCCAAACTATAGGATTGAGGGGTCCTTGGTGCTCTCTGAGCTTGCTTGTTTTCTTGCAGGCATTTCATTATCTTAACTAGGTAACATTATCAGTGCTATTGCTGTAGGATTATAGGATTCTTTTCCTAATAGTATTTTGAAACTGAAAATATTTAACATAGTAAAAAACTGGATTTTCCATCAAGATCATGAACAGGAATTCTTGGTGATGCTAATTCAAGAGTTATTTGAGCATGGAATGATGTAGGATTAGAATGTTGGTATAATTGTAAAAGAATAGAGTTCAAATCTCTGGTCTTCTTTGAAGTCTATAGATGTACTAGGCTGTCATGAAAAGGAATATTTATTTAACCCAAAGTTATTTGGAGAAGTGGTACTAAATAAATAAAAGTACTAATAATGATTTTTAGATTTCAATTTCTCTTCCCAAACTCAAAACGTCAGGTACATATCATGAAATACAGATGTTATTTAAATCAGTGATTCCCTGTTTCCCATGTCTTGCATCATAAAGCACTAACTCAATGTCATATTTGTAATTAATAGACAACCAATCTTTTAAGGCTGATCAGCATATGTGAAGATTTTAGATTCATTCTGAATTTGTGTCACACACACCCCCCCCTCCCACACACATACACTTTTCATTTATCAGGACTGTCACATATTGCAGCTGATGAAGATAGTCTTAGGGGATGAAAAATAAAGGTACTTTCAGATATCCTTTGAAATTACTGTAGGGTTATTTGGAAATTGCTCTTCTGTCCAATTGGATCTTCAGAGATAGCTACATTTTTTAAAAAAAAAATGCAACAAACCAGAACAAAATAAAGATCCACCCTTGAAGAAATTCAGAGGCCAAAAGTCCAAATGTAATAAAAAGCTTCTGTGCAGGGTGTTTTGTTTTTAAACGTCTTGTCAACTCTTTTCAATGAATCTGACGTCTGCCAAGAAATTACAGCCATGTAGTTAAGCGCCTTACTGACAAGAATTAAATATGCACTGTAATAAATAGCCTTGCGGTTGACACCGGGAAATGCCTCATCCATATCAGCTCACTCTCTGGCAACCAAACCAACGGAGTGTCTGCAATATCTTGAAAAACCGAACGTTATACATTTATTACTATAACATATTTTCGAGGATTGGCGCATACAATCAGCTGGTGTTTTGCAAAGCAGCTAGTTTTCATCTTTTTTAAAAAGTCCCCAAACAAAATTTGGCTGGAAGGGGGGGGGGGAGACGCCACGGGAGCTTTCCAAAATATCATTCCAGGAAATAAAAATAAAATAAAACATAAAAACGTACCTGAACCTTATTGCTCTCCCTCCCTAGATGGATCCGCGTGGATGTTTCCTCACGCTCCTGGGTGTTTCACGTTAATAACCGCGCTTGATGGAGGATCCGAAAGATGCGCGGCGCGCGAGGGAAGCCGCTGTACGGGGCAGGAGTGGATCCCAGTTTGGGAGGATCCAAACACGCCCACTCGGATCTGGAGCAGGCGGGGTGGGGAGCCGGAGTCTCCACGCGTGCTCTCTCCTTCTAACGCCGCTTCAGTTCTCTTGCCCGGTCGCCTTTCGTGGGAAGCTTTCCAGACCTCCCGGCTTCCCCGGATCGCCCAGCGTTTCAGAAAGTCTTAGCCGGGTGTGGAGGTTGCACCGACGACCCATTCACTTCCCTAGATATCCCGCTTGGTCTCTTGAGTTTGGCTAGGACGCGCTTTTCCAACACCTCCTGGAGGCAGAAAAGGGAGGAGGCGCAGTTGAGGGGCCGCCTGGATTGGCAGGTCCTCCAGCTTCCCGGGGAGCTTAGCTGAGCGAGATTCGGACTCTTGTCTGGTCATATCAAAAGCGTTTTTTTCAAAACGTAACTGGACTTTGTTTTGTCCTTGAAGACGTTTTGCTTCTCATCCAAGATCTTGTTCTTAGATAAGAATTGAAACGTCTTCAAAGAAATAAACAAAGTCCAGTTGCCTTTTGAAAAAAAAAAAAAACTTTTGGGGTAACCATGACCAGGAAGACTGTGAATCCCCATAAGCATCTGTCTGGTCGTAGTTCGCTGCTCCAGAGGGACTTCTTCCGCTGTGGCGCTTCCCCGCCACCACTCGGTTCTTAAGGACTATCTTCCTTCTTAAAGCAGGGAACTCCAAACGTGGCAACTTTAAGACGTGCGGACTTCAAGTCCCAGAATTATCCAGCCAGCATGTGGAGATTCCTGCCCTAGATGGCAGGGCATCTTTCAGAGGCTTCAAAATAGCACCATTTCGCCACTTTGCTCCTTCCCTCCCTTCCTTCAGAAGAGAGCCTGAGAGATGGAGTTGCACGATTGAGAAAGTAGGAAGTACAAGGCGTGTGTATCTCCCTCCTGGCGAAGAATAGACAAAGCTTCTAAAGCATCAACTTTTCAGGTACAGTCTGGAGGAAAAGCTGAGTTGGTCTCCAATTCAGCATTCTCAGTTAGCCCTTGCAAATTTCTGGATTTCGCTTTGATACAACTCTATGGTGCTAAACTAGAGAAAGTGGGGTGGGGAGTGGGGATACTGGTCTGTAATGGATGAATACATTCCTATATTTTTCTGAATGTCATTCCCCCCCTCCCCCCAAATCACTTCCAGCATAACCACATTTCCATTGGTAAAGATAGCGCTTTGCAACGGAATCTTAAATCTAAAACACCTTTCTTAAAAAGACTAAATTGCAAGGATTTTTGGTTCTACAAAATGTTACATCAGGCGAGATGCATGAATCACACTTTCCTTTTCCAAATTATTTCCCATTCTTCCCAAGGCATCCTATATTTAGACTTCAGAACTTTGAATATAAATCCTGTTGGAACACTATTAGTTTGTACATCCAACTCTGTTGCTTTTATATAACTTGGTCATTCTCAGTTCAACAATTTAATTATCCCTACTTGGCCAACATATATATATATATATATAGTCTCTGAAAAGCCAGAACCAACTCCAGACATTAGGCAAAATCACTTATTTATAGTGTCTACATATTGACAAATGTTAGATGTCAACAGTTTTTAGGAAATATCTATTTAATGCCATTCTCATTTTTTTTCTTTGCTTGGTGAAAGTCCTATTTTGGCTTTCTATTTGATGTGCCAAATATTTTACAACCACTCCTTTCAAATTGTGGTCACTATTGTAGTTCTTGCAAGGATAGTTATTATGAGATTTCCATTGGTTTTTCCCTTATATTTGTAATTTTATCAGAAACTTAAGGTTGAGGTATGAAAAGGATTTTCCCCTAATGAGAAATCAGGTTATTTTGAATTCATAGTAAGTGTTTTTCTATTTGAGAATAATAACAATAATCTATAAAGCTTATATCCCGCAACAATACCTTTAACACTATCAAAGAAGATCTGCCTATTTCAGGTCCTTGGAAGGGGCCTGATAGGTGGATTAAAATGCCAAATCCAGTCTAAACAACTGGCTGACTGCAGTAAACCATTTTTAAATTGCTACATCCAATCTAAATATCTGGTGGACTGTGCAATGAACCATAATTGTAGTACCTGGAGACATCAAGAAAAAAAACTGGATGAAAAATCAAAAAATACAAAGGCCTGCTAATAGAAGTAGAACAACTATGACAAAATACCATTAGTAATAGGCACCATGGGTGCAATCCTAAAAAACTGAGGTGCCACTTGAACACCATCAACATTGATGAAACCACCATCAGACAATTGCAAAAGGCAGCTTTCATTAAAACAGTGATACATCCTGTGACACATTTGATATTATCAAACAACAACATCTGCCTATTGTAGCTCCTTGGGATGGCCTCAATAGATGGATAAAATACCAAATCCAGACTAAATATCTAGATGATTGTTGACCAACCGTAATAATGGTACAGTAGCTTCTTAAAAAAAACATGGGTTTACCCATTCTCCTTATTCAATTGATTTGCTTAATATTTTTGAATCTCATATGGTGCCATCAATTTGAACCTTCTTTTTAAAGAGATCAAGTCCTTTTGTGTTGTTGGAAGAAAAATCCAGTCCAATTCCAAGCCAAGAGAAAGGCACTAGAAATAAAATGGAGACTGAATGGAAAGAAGGGCACTGTTTATTGATCAGCAGCATGCAGTTCTGGGACAGCTGACAAAATGATTGAATGAGTGGAAGGATTTTTATAGATTTCTATGACTTTGAATTTGAACTGTTCCTGGGATTGTGCAATGAAGGGAGTTTTGTATATTTTTCTATTTCCATGGTGATGGTTTAATCTTATTATGTCCTAAAGATCATGTCCTGCTCTTAGAATTTGGGTGGTGTGTGTGTAAATTTTAATCCCACCAGCTCCAACCTTCTGTACATTTTGTTTATGAATAGATTGACCCAGTCTGTCTTAATGACCACAAGATATCCATCTTTAAGGCTTCTGCTGGAAGCTGTTGGGGCTGCTTTCTGCCTTTGTTAAGATTTTTTTCCATTTCTCCTTTGTGGAAATATAATATTCTGCCTCTTACTATTCCAAAAAATATTTCACTGTCAGGGGAGGGGCTGTTTCCTACAGTGTATTTAGATATATTGTTTTATTAAATTACATGTTATATTATTCCTAGTTGCTGCATTTGAAATGGGTCCTGTCAAAAATCAATAAAGCCATATTGTCAGCAATTATGTGTATAGAACAGGCATGTCAAGCTTGTGGCCTATGGGCCGGATGTGTCATGCACTGGCCACGCTCACCCCATTTTACCGAAGGGGGGAAAAGTCACAATGCATTGTGTGATGACAATGTGATGCCATAAGTTTGATACCTCTGGTATAGAAGGATAGGGTTATCATGTATATGGAGAACTATTTAGGGCAGTTTTTCCTCAGTAGAAATCAGCTAGGACAGCCCTTTATGGTAAGGCTGCACAGTTTAGCACAGCTGCTAGATGGAGGCCAGGACAAAAAACACATTTTTTGTAGGGATAGAGGAAAGGTTACGGAGAGGCCGTGAGCAGCAAACTGCTATGAGCCTTAGTAACCGATTACCTCAACTGTCTATGAGCTCACCTAATTAGCAGCACTAGGCACTACTAGGAACTATTGAGTTATGTGAGATTTTACTCTGGGTGGGATGTTCTTAGAGATTGACAAGGAGAATGTGCCAATTACAATGCTGTTGCTATATACTCATTGCTTTGCTTGTAAAAACTGTATAAAAAGAATAAACCCTCCAAAGGAAGGGGGCATTTTAGAATGAACCCTGTGATGTCTGGACTCTGAATCCATCAATTCTTAATTTCTTTCAACATGTTTTTCATTCAAGATTTGCAGAGAGAGGAAGAGAAACTGTTCATTCTGATAAAAGGGTGCTGAAAAATAGGATGAGGAGCCATCCATAATCCCTGCAGGTGAAGCATTCCTTATCGGTTAAAGCAGCGGAATGCAAAGATGCAGGATGATATTTAGGGGCTATTCCAGAGGTGGTATTCAGCAGGCTCTGACAGTTCTGGAGAAGCGGCAACTAAAATTTTGAGTAGTTTGGAGAACTGGTTAATTCCACCTCTGACTGGCCCCGACCCCATTTATTCTCTGCCTCCAGAGTCCCAGTTGATAGGGAGGGAATGGGGATTTTGCAGTAACCTTCCCCTGCTATACCCACCAAGCCCACCAAGCCACACCAACAGAACTTTTAAAACTTTT